GCCCCGCCAATCCGCGCCCGCCTCACCCGCGCACCCCTTCCCACCTCGCCGCACCGCCCTGCGGACCCCTCCCCTGCCCTCCCCTCCCAGCCGCGCAGCCCAGCAAATCCGACTGCTCCGCGGGCGCCGGCCAATCGCGGCCCCAGGGCGACGACCCGACCCCGCCCTGCCCCCGGCCGCTCCGCCCGCGCTAACGCCCCTCGCTCTCGCCTTCCCCAGACCCGGGAGGAAGATGTCCTCGAAAGGCAGGGGAAGCGTCGGACGGGGCCGGGGACCTGGCGCCGAGGGCCAAGGCCCAGGCAGCTCGCAGCTCCCGGAACGAGGACCCCCCCCCTCAGCCTTCCGCCGCGGCCCCGCGGCCCCACTGTCCCCCGCCGGGCCTGGAGACCTCCGACCGCACTCGAGATGCAGAGCGCTATGCAAATGAAGGGGTGACCCAGTTGCTTTCTGGTGATGACCTGGGGCGGCTTCGACTTGGGTTCCCCGCCCGGAGCTAGACAGCAACGTAGCCCAGAACACTCCCTGGGGTGCGCACTCTCCAGCAGCTTATCCCACCTCCAGCCTGGGCGGGCGACGCCCTCTGGGACCCCGGAGCCCCCGCAGCTCACAGCTTGGTTGGGAAAAGGCCTCTGTCGGGACAGGAATCAGCCTAGGTTTACCCACCCTGGGAGGAGGGCGGGGGCGGGGGTGGAGAAAACTTGCTGGAGGAGGAGAGGGGCTGCCCGAGAGGGGCTAGGGCAGGGAAGGGCAAGTGGGGAGGGTGCCTAGGAGGGTAGGTCACTGCAAGAAATGGGGAGGCTTTCAGACTTCCAGGGAGGGGCCGGAACACACAAGAGGGCAGGGGTGATCACTAGGCACCTGAAAATAGGCCCAGACCTCAACTCCCACGGCAGCTGGCTTGTTCACTGGGCCAGGGCGCGCTGACCCTCCCCTGGTCCTGCTTCTCCGGGTAGGGAGAAGGGCCCGTTTCCCCAGCATGTGACACGTGCAGCCACACAGAACCCCTCACTGGTTTAATGCTCTTGGAATTACTGATAAGTTTTGAGGGGGCCTCTCATTTCATTATGCACCAGCCTGTGCTAGAAATCAGACCCTGCACCTCCCAGACACATCCAGCCACACTCGCCTGCAGAGGGGAGAGAGCTGGGAGGGAGAGGAAGAGGGGGATGGGAGGGAAGGGGTAAGGCGGAGGGGGAGGCAGGGGTGCAGAGGAAAGGATACTGGCAAGGTGACAAATTGAGAAACTGAGTGGTGCGGGAGGCAGCAGGTCGGGGGGGGGGCGGTTTGTGCAGCAGGCTGAGCAGGACGGTCTGGAGGGCTGGGGGCCCAGCGAGGTCTGGCAGCCCTACTGGGCCCTGAGGACCACTAGCATCAGCCCTCTGCCGCCCCCTGCAGGCCATTCCTAGACCCGCAGCTCAAGTCCTCAGGGCAGTATCTGAATGCGGTCCCCCCCAGAGCAGAGCTGGCCCTGGCAGGGAGTGGGGACAGGAGAGTCCCAGAGGCCTTGCCCGTGTCGCACGGCTGGCCAGCCTGGGGTTTCCCATGCCCCCCCTACCCTTTCCTCCCCCAAGTGTGCTCCGGTGTGTCTGGGCTCCAGGAAAGGCACAAAACAGTGGCCCCGTGGAGAAGCAGGCAGCGGAGGGCCCCCACCCAGGCCCTGCAGAAACCTCTGCCCACAGCTCTGCTCAGGGAACAAGTGGCACCCTCGAGACCCCAGCGCCCCCTTGGCCCAAGTCAGCCAGCTCCACAGCCAGTCCGAGGGGGGACACTCAGGGATGTGCACCTGTGAGAGTGTGGGCTCAGAGTGCAACTTGCGGCACACGTGGGCCAAGGGAGGATCCAGGCTGAGCGGGCCTCACCCCACCTCACTCCTATGCCCCACCAGATACCACCCCCCCTGCGGCACCCCTACAGGCCGGGGTCCGACACACTCAGAGAGGCACCGCTGGGCCTCCAGGGACATAAATGAACCTGCTACCAGCTCATCAGCTTTGTCCTCCTCAAAGGGGTGGGGTGGGGTGGGGTGGGCAGAGGTGAGTGGGGAAGGGGGCCTGAGGAGCAGGAGGCTGTCTCCCTTTGGCCTGGCTCCCAGGGCAGGGCCTCTGGGGATGAGGAAGCGGGTTGGCCAAGGTTGGGAGGAGAGCAGAGATGGGCAGGACTCCCCATGGAGCCCTGGGCTCACCTCTCCACCCCTTCATCATACTGGAGTGGGGCAGGGAGGGGGACAGAAGGGGAGTTGGCCTGGGTTCCCACCCTAGGCCCCAACACCCAGGGTACTCTCAGCTCTGTCTCACTCAGCTATCACCATCCCAACACCCCCCAAATCATCCCATCTACAAAACCCTGCAGCCACCCACAGGTGAGCGGGAGAGTCTGATCTGAAATGAAATTGGAAAATTCATCCAAGGGTCCCGGGGCCAGCTGGAATGAGGACACAGGTGCATCAAGGCTGAGGCCAGGTGAGGGCCCTGTCAGTGTCAGGGACCCTGTCCCCAAAGTCCAACCTCTCCCACACAGGAGTCCCCTTCATCCAGCAGGTGGGGGCCCAAGGAGACATGTTCAGGAGATGGCATCCGGCTGGCTCGGACCGTCTGTGCCAGGACCAGGTGAGCATCCAGGTGGCAAGGCCCCTGGGCCGGAAGTGGAAGAGCCCACGAGGCAGCGCAGGTCAGCCCCACTGCTGCCCCACCAGACGGCGACATACCTGGGCTTGCCGCGGGAAAGAAGCCAGGCAGTGCTTGGTTCCCCTGAAGGTGAGCCAGCAGGTGGACCAATGGTCAGTGCAGCCAAGACAGGCTGGAGCCCTGTGGTAGGAAAGATGGGCACAGTGGAGGCCACACTGTGCCCTCTGCGGGGCTCCCAGAGGCTGGGCAGGCACCTCAGGGATGAGGAACAGCCCTCCACTCAGGACCAGGTACCTACAAGGGCTGGAGACAGCAGCTGAGGGACTGGGAGGGGTACACTGCCAGACTCAGGGGACCAGAACAGGGGGATTCAAATAGGGCTCTGCTCCCAACCTTGGGTCACTCATCCAGAGATGCCCAGGGAGGCAGGCAGGTTTGCACACAGACACAGAGACAGCACACGTGGGGTCTGTGCGTACAGAGAATATGTGTTCAGGGCATGTGGTGGTCATGGCATGGTCCCCAGAGGTCCAGCCTTCGGTGTCCATTTCCCCCAAGATGCCCTGCAGCCCAACCATTCCTGGGCTCCAAGCAGATATATGCCCTGAGCCACCAACCTCTCTCTCTCCCCACCGAGCCAGCTGGTGATGACTCACCAGGCCCGTTCCCCTGCCATCGGCATTCATGGGAGGATTCTGCCCTCCCCCACCAGCCAGGGCCTTTGAGGAGGGGACTCCAAGCTCACGGGGCAGGGGGGTGTCTGAAGGCATCCCAGTCAGGCCCCCCCACATCTCACTCCTCAGACCAGGTGCTCCTTGCAGCCCGGGGGTGGGGCAGGCAGTCTTCTCAGCAGCTCAAGGGCAGGAGGGGACTGCAGAGGTTCAAAACATCACCATGGCAGATGTCCACCCCCCACACTCATCCTCTCATGGGTGCCCACTGCTGCCAGTCCACCCCGACCTACGTTTGAGGCTGGCGAGAGGCCAGTGAGCAGACGGAGGTCTGCAGGTGACCTCATACGTGTCCTCCCCAGAACCTCAGTGAGGAGAGGATGCACCTGGGGGTCCCTGTGCCCAGGGATGAAGCATCCAAGGAGGGGTTTCAGGCCCAGAAAGTAGCAAGGGCAGTGGGGGGAGGAGGCGGGCAGCTGGGGAAGGAACACACCTCATCCACTTTCCTTGATAAGCCCCCTCTCCAGGAGCTATGGAGCCCAAAGCCCACAGCAACATTCTAGAAGCTAAAAACCATGCATCATACCCCACCATGCCCACACACCCCAAGACCTGGGCATCGGGGGGGATGGGCCTCCCAGGCAGGGCCTAAAGGGCAGATCCACCAGCAACCCCCCAACCCCTCTGGGCCCCCCAAAATGAGGAAGTCCCATGGCCAACACCAAGCCGAGGCTGGAGGAGACCACTGCCCAGCCACACTCGCAGCCCTCACCCCCAAGGCAGCCCGTGGGCCCTCCATGAATGACCTCTAGCCCTCCCGGCCCCCACAATGCTCCTCCGTGAGTCCAGAGCCTCCCACTCCCATCTCGGGCAGCCCAGACACAACCCTGCAGTTGGGGCAGGATGCAGGGACCAGACAGGACCACAGCCGGCTCCATCTCTCACCCAGGCCCAGCCTCCTCCTCCAGGAAGCCTCCCTCCCCATTCTCTGTTCTGGGCTTCCTTTGAAGGCAGGGTCTGACAAACCTGCATCCCCCAGAATGGAACCTGCAGCAGCAGGCAACAAGGACAGAGCGGGGGGGGGGAGCCCCAAGACAAACACACCTACAGTCCTGGGCTGGGTCTTCTTGACTCTCCAGGGCTCTGGGGTGGCGAGCAGTTGGGGGACCCCAAGGGAGCAGAAGCCATGAGAAGGCCATGGGCACCTACCTGGCCAGACCAAGGTCCCACTCAAAGAGGAACCACCCCAAAAGCCGAAACAAAGATGGGAGGTTGCCAGTGGCGTGGCATACTGTGCGCCCCAGCTGCTGAGAGGCAGCAGGGGCCTGGCCTGGGGGCACACACCCCAGCGGGGGTAGATCAGGGCGTAGAGGAGAACACAGCCACCTACCCGGGGCCCCCAGGCAGAGCGGGCTCTGAGGCAGCTCTGAGGAGCCAGGGAGGCCCTGCCAACGCAAACAGTCCTGTGGTGTCGGCCTTCCTGCTGCTGCTCCAGCCCCGCAGGCCCAAGGCCCACCCAGGCCCCCACCGTGGGGGAGGGGCGCACACACCCCTCCCCCACAGAGCCAAGGCAAGGCCATCTCCCCACAGCCAAACTGGAGCCTCCGGGGCTGGGAGACACCCACTGCAGGGGAGGGGCCCCCCAGTCTCTCCTGGTCCCAGCAAGGCCAACCCCCACCTCAGGGTCTTCCCCCCACATCCCTGCTCCTCCTCCCCTCCCCCTCAGGTATTTCTCTGCTGGAGGTGGCAGTGGGGAGGACACCATCAGGACCCCGAGGGGGGCCGCCTTTCCACCCACCACAGGCCCTGGGAGCATCCTGCCTCAGGCACTCACAGTGTGTGCCCGCCCGCCTCCAGGCCACCAAGACCCCTATGGAGCAGTGCCACATGGGGCCCAGGCAGCAGGGCCGGCAGGCAGTGCTGTTCCCAAATGCCCTCAGCCCAGGCTTGTCCAGAGGGTGGTCAGGTAAGGGCCAGTCAGCCTCAAGTACGCCTGCAAACCCCACCAGGCCAGGGCTAGTATGGGTACCGCAGGCAAGGAACCCCGTCTGACCCTGGGGAGGCTCCTGAACATGTGTGTTCTGGGACCCCACCCCACCCTGCACATCTATCCAAAGCAAGACGGGCAAGGGGTCAAGCGTGCACAGCCAGGATCGGGACCCTCCAGCTGGGCAGCTTCTGGTTCTACCCACACGTTACAGATGGAGAAACTGATGCCAGGACCCGTGGGCAGGGTCAGCTGACGCCCTGTATACAGGGCAATGCTCCGGGCCAGAGCGTCTCAGCAGCAAAATCTTCAACCGCTGAGCTCGCCTTGATCCCTGCCTGCCCTGCAGTGACCTTCTTCTGGCAGGAAACGCGCGGCTCACGGGTTCCCAACCACATGTGAGCTCAGCCCTCCCTCCCTCCCGAAGCCTCCCGCCACTGGGGGCAGGATACCCCATTCTCGAAAAACTGGCACTCTCCCTCCCCGGAGGCCTGGGCCACATCTGTGCTGACACTGCACACAGAAAGGGGAAGCAAGGGCCCCCCCTTTTCCCTACAGGCAGGCGAGGCCCCCCCGTCCCTACTCCCCACCAGGGCCCTGGGGTCCATGTCTCCCTCCTGCCCACCCTGAGGAGAGCCAGGCCCAGGGCCCAGCTACTCCCCCACAACACACACAGAAGGACATGGCCACCCAAGGCAGAGGCAGGGGGCAGGGCTGACCTCTGAGGCTTCCAGTGTCCCCCAGTCAGGGCTGGGCAAAGACAGAGTACAGACAGAGAAGAGGATCAAACACCCCCAGGGGCCTCGGTGCACACCTGTGTTGAGAGCGTGCAAGCAGGCTGCGGGCGGGCAGCCGTGATGCTCCCCATGCCCTCTCCCTGGAAATCAGGGAGCAGAGGGAGGAGCCCGGGAACAGGAGGCCACCACCACCCCCAAATCTACACACAGCTCACAGAATTCCAGGAATGTCAACTTGGCTCTGGCCAGGATCAGGGAGGGAGGCTCATTCCCCTCACTCTTTCGGAGTAAACAACTGCTCAGGGCAGGAGCATGGGTGGGGCGGGCCCTGGGCCCCTCCTCCAGGAAGCCTTCCACCACCACCCCCAGGTCCCTAAGGCCCACCCGCTGACAGCCTGGATCCCCTCCACTGTGTCCCTCACCTCCACGGTTGCCAGCAGCCTCTGCCGCTGAGCCTGGGTCTGACCCCAGGCCACTGTGACTCAAGGCCCCCATCCTGTCCTTCTGTCCGGGGACAGGATGTGCGTCCAGTGGGTGGGGGGGGGGCAGCTGGGAAGGGAAGTAGCCTCACTCGTGGCTCTGCACGTGGCAGCGTGGGGGATGACAAATGCACTAGGCAGGCTGTCCGGGACCCAGGCAAAGGTGGGGGCACAAACTCCAGGCAGGGGGCAGCTCTGGGCAGCCACACCCAGGCCCCAGGGAACCCTCTGGCTCCCTCCCCCTCAGCTAAAGCCAGAATCCATCATCCACCTGAGAGGGCGGGTAGCTGATGCCTGGGACTCAGCACGGGCCCCACTCACCCCCAGCAGAGATCCAGAGGCCCCAGGCCAGGGAACCTGACTAGGCCCCTCCCACCAACACCCGTGCCTAAGTCACAGGTGCCACCCCCCCCCCCCCCCCCCGCACAGCCCAGAAATTTACCTCCTCCAGGGAGCCTTCCCTGCCTCTCACTGCACACTGATCTCCCCCCAGCCTCCAGCCCCGGGATCAAGTAGCTCAGCTTACCCCATTTCCAGAGACACAGCCTCACCTTCCTTTAAGTCCTCTGTGGCTCTTGCCCCATCACCTCTAGCCCTACCACCTGCTCTGGTCCTGGCACAAACTTGTGGCCTGGACCTGCCCCGCGGGTATGGCCTCCAGGCCTCCATCCAGGCGTTCCCTTTGCCAGGATCAGTCCACTCCCTTACACACACTCAGGCTCACTCCAGGTAAAATCGTGCTCTTCAAGGTTCAATTCAAAAGGCACCTCTTCCATGACGCCCTCCCTGACCACCCTCTCCAGCCTCCGCCCCTTTCTGAGTCCTCAGAGACCCGACGCCCCCAGATCACGGGTACCCAGCACAGCCTGGCCCGGGGTGGATGCACACCCAGCCCGCACCCCCTCCCAGACCCTTCCTCCGGAAGAAGGGAGGAGGGACGCGATCCGAAGCGGATCGCTGGGGCGCTGCGGGAGAGGAGCTGCCGCTGAGCCCGCCGCGCCCTCCCGCCGTCGGGGCTACAGGTAACTGCCCGGCCGGGACCGACACCGTGCGAGCGAGCGGGCCGGGCCACGGCTGAGAACCGGACCGCCAAACTCGGCCCCAGAGACCCCGCCCCGGGCGCGCGAGGGCAGGAGCTCCAGGCGGGGAGAGCCTTCTCCCCGGCCGGGCCAGGAGGGGCGGTGGGAAGGCCCGTCCGTAGCCGCGCGCCCCCGCTGGCCCCCGCTGGCCGCCGGCCAGCCCCTCTGTAATCCCCGCCGCGGGTCGCCGCGCCCCCGGCCCCGGCCCCGCCACTTGTTGCGGCGGCTCGGCTCGGGGCTCGGCGCTCGGGGCTCCAACTCCGCGCCGGGTCGGCTCGGCTCGGGCCCGGCCCCAGCCCGGCTCCGGGGCTCGGCTCGGCGGCTGCGGGGAGCGGGACCCTGGCCGCATCCCCACCGGCGGGCGCGGTACCTGCGCGCCGTCCGCCCGCCGCGCAGCTGTCAGTCATGCGGACACGAGGAAGGCGAACCGCTGCCGTCGGGCCCTTTCGGTCCCGTTAGGACGCCGTAGGCCGGGACATACCAAAGCGGCGGACGGGGGGAGCGCCGCCTGCCCCGGCCGCGGCCGCGCGGGCCCCGGAGCCCCCGTTCCGCGCAGAAGGAACTCGACCCGGCGGGGAGCGGACGGCGGCGGCACCGGGGCCGGCGGGGCGGGCTGGGGGCGGCCGGGGGCGGGACGGGACTCCCCCTCCCCCCGCGCCATGGACGCGCCCTAGGCGGGGCCGTCCGCGGCGGAAGCTCCGCCAGATCGGGCAGTGCGGGCGCTGCGCTGCTGCCGCCATGATCATCCCCGTCCGCTGCTTTACCTGCGGCAAGATCGTCGGCAACAAGTGGGAAGCCTACCTGGGGCTGCTGCAAGCCGAGTACACCGAAGGGTGAGGCGCCGGACCGGGCGGGGGTAGGGAACCGGGGTCGAGGGGTCCTCGCCTGCGGGGGCGCGGGGCGACGTCTCGTTCGCGAGTCAGGGATTGCGGGCCTGCGGGACTCAGTGGCGGCGGTGGGGGTCCGGGGTAGAGGGGCCGCGATCTGTGGGGCGTGGACGCAGGGGCAGAGTCGGCCTCGCCGGTCGGGGGCCGCGGTGTGCAGGTGGGCTCCTGCTGGGCGCGGGGGCGAGGGGACGGCGGGCCGGGGTCCCGGGGCCCTGGCCAGGCGGCGGGCGCTCGTACCAGATTCCAGGTGACCCTGCAGGGGCTTTCCCCCGCCCCCCAGGCTCTCTCCCAACCCTCCTCTACTGACCTGCTCTCAGGAGAGCGTTGCCGCCACTTCGCCCCCGCCTTGTAGTTTAGGGAGAGGAGGGGAGTTGGGCATCAGGCCACCGGCATCTTGGCACTTGTAGGTATCCCGCAGTTAAGTGCTCTGCCTCCTCCCTGGCCACCTGCTCCCTCACCTCTCTCCGCTGTTAGACCCACCCCCTGTCCCCCAGACCCTCTTGTCCTATGGGAGGTAGAACAAGCTTCCTGGCCACAGAGCCGTGAGTAGCGGGTTGTTCTGGGGGCTTCTTTCCTGTCCTTGCCCCTCAGCACTGCAGTCACCACCAGGTTTGTCTGAATCTCTGTTCCCTCGTACAGGCGGACTCTGGGCCCCTGTGTGGACGGTCCCTTGTCCTGATCACATTTGAACCCTGGGCCTGGGGTGTTTGGGGATGAATGGGGGGGGGAGGCCAGAGCTGCGCTGAGTGCTCATGCCAGGTCTTGATGAGTCTGTTAGAATGACCAAGTGTGAGTGAACAACTGGAAGCCTGCACAGGACACCCCCCCTTCCCCGCGAGATGCCCTGGGCAGGAACCAACCAACCTGGCCGCCTCTGTCCCAACTTGCCATCTCTGCACAACCGAGCGGTGCTGTGGGAATTTTCTGGAAGCCTTTAGGGAGACTGGGCTGGGTCCCAGGGACATTGACAACTCTAATCGGCTTGAGAAACGAGAGAGATGGCTTCCTGGAGAGACTTCCCTCCCTGACGTGTGGCGCGGGCATCCCGCGCAGGGCCCTCTGTCCCCCCGGGACTGCCTGGATGAACAGGGTGTGGTCTGCTCTTCTCACCACAGGGATGCCCTGGATGCGCTTGGCCTGAAGCGGTACTGCTGCCGCCGCATGTTGCTAGCACACGTGGACCTGATCGAGAAGCTGCTCAACTACGCGCCTCTGGAGAAGTGACGTGTGGTGCCCACCGCCCGCCGTGCTCACCCAGGGCGGTTGGCGCCTTGCCCCACTGCATCCTGCCCACCGCCTGTGGGTGTGTGTCTTTGCTCTGGAAGGAACTGTCCAGTAAAGCTCTCTGTAGAACCATGAGGAGATCCTGACAGTCGGCCTGGCTTTGGGTGACTCCCTGCCCGCTGGTGTTTGTGTGTCCTGCCTCGTGCCTGAAGCTACTTGGGGTGGATGTGGCTCTCGCTGCCCAGGGGGAGGGAGAGCCATCCAAGTGGCAGCCGTTCAGCAGGGGTGGGGGGGATTCTCCTTCTGGAGTGTGGGCTCTCACAGGTACAGACAGACAAGAGCACTTGGATTAGGGGCTCAGGGACACTGGCATGCCCACCCCCAGGTCCTGGGTGCTCTTTAGGCCAAGCACAGAGATCCTCACATTCTCTCCCAGGATATCAAGAACCAGATTTTCTGGGCCCTGAATAGAATGCCTGCTGTGGTCTCGGCTGCCCATCCTGAGGGTCTTACTGCCAGAAGCTTTGAGGCTCCAAGCTCAGCAGGCCCCTTCCCTTGGCCAAGTCACTTTGGAGGGGGAGAGGCAGTGCCCAGCCTCCACAGCCAGCCCTGAGGCCCTCACAGTGGGTTGAGGGCAGCCCTGAGGAGGCACTGCTGGGTGTCAGGGTTTGCCAAGCTCCCAGTGCCCTGGGCACTAGCATTGAATCCCTTGGGCCTACCCAAAGAGCTATCTGCCAGGGGCTTCTGTCCTCTTGCAGCTCAGGCTGAGGCTTCGAGCCAGCAGCCATCACCCTGGACGGGAGTCCGGCAAGCCCTGGTGCCCTCCAGCGGGCAGTAGGCAGGAGTGTGTGGTTAGGAGAGGGAGGAAACTTTCTTTGGCACCTTTTTCAGAGCAAACACTGCTGCCCAGACATGGGACATGGGGTCCTCTGAGGGCCAGTGAACAAACCTGCTGTGGGGGCAGGGGGAGGTAGGGTCTGCCCAGGGTACGGGTCCTGCAGAGCTTGGGCTTCTCATGTTGGGTCCCAGAGACTCCGCCCCCCTCCCCTAATGGCACACGGGCCAGAGGGCATTTGGAAACAAGCAGGTCCAGGCCATTTGAGGTCTCCATTGCCTCCGGGAGGCTCTGGCCTTGCCACCACTTTTCTGTCCCAGAACGGGCAAGGTTTTTTTGCTTCTCAGCCCACCTCAGTGTCCCTGTGACTGGCGCCCTCTCCTCGGAGTCCCGTCCGTCCTTGGCTCACACGTGGCGGCTCTGGAGCCCCAGGATGTGCCCTCCTGGCCTCTTGTCCTGGCACTAGGTGGGTGGTTCTGTCCACATTGCTCGGGGGGAAGGCCCTGAGGACCAGGATCCTGTCTGTCACTGACACAGTAAGCTCACGCGTCCGTTCCACAAACATTTATTGAACGCCTATTATGTGGCACAAGCAGTTCTAGGCATTTGTGATACAGCAGTGAATAAAACCCACAAACCCCCTGCTTCTGGGAAGGGGACAGGACAAGAGCAAGTGAATTGCGACCTTTCAGTGGGGAGAGTGGTGGGGAAGTCCCGGCGGGGGCCCAGGGCAGCCGGGCTGGGGGGGCAGAGGCACAGGACCCGCAGGGCAGGGCTAGCCTGGTTTTCCCAGGAATGGGCTGGGGGTCTTTGGCCCAATGGCAGGCATATTCCCCGGCTCTGTCCCACCCAGCAGTGCCCCCGCTCAGGCTTGCCCTGACCACCATGTGGGGGTGTGTCTGGGGGTCTGGGAGCACCCGAGGGTGGGCCAGCCCCTCTGGCTGAGCGCAGGGAACACCCCAAGACCAACCTCCCCCCCAGGCAGAAGTACAGCCCCTTCCCCGCTGTGGGTGGGGGGAAGGCATCTCAGGCCTTTGGTCTGCAGAGAAAGGCACTTGCAGCTCCCTCTGAGGGTAGGGGTCCCCAGAGGTCACGTGATGGCATGGGGGTTGCACAGGGGCTTGAAAACAGCCCCTCCCTGGCAGAGTGGGGAGGGAGCAGCGTCCTGGGACCCCCTGGCCCTCAGTAGTGTCAGCTCGTAGTCAGGTGGCGCGAAGCTGCAGCCCACGCGGGTGGCGCCCGGCATGTTCAGTAGTGCTCCAGCTTCAGGCTCCTGTACAAGCAGCACGTGAAGATCATGCCGAAGACCTGCGGCACAGGGCCAGGGTGAGCACAGCACAGCGCTAGCCCCACGGCATCCCCTGCACCCACCACGGCCTGTCCCGCCCCACCCCCGAACCTGCACGCAGCCAATGCCAACGCCCACGGCCCCGATGACCCTCAGGTGCTCCTGGATGAAGGTCTCCAGCTTGGTGATGCAGCCGCCCTGGCAGGGTAGGGGCACTGAAGGTGGGCAAGTCCAACCCCACTCGGGGTGTGACCACACCAGCCCCCCCAACCCAGGGCATCCTGGGCCCCTGGCTCCTCAGCCCCTCCCCAGGGAGCCCAGGCACCTGCCGGCCTACCTCCACCTTGTAGATGTTGGAGGCGTGGTCCCGCTGCCCACAGCCAGGCACCAGGGTCTTGCAGCAGCTGTCGGGAACCACGCGGCCGCCGGCCTGGCCCGAGCGCACCCACTCACTGTCCCGCCAGTCTTGGGAGTTGTTGCTGCCACAGCAGTGGAACTGTGGTGGGAACACGGCCCGGCTGAGCCTGCGTGGCAGGGACCCCCCAAGAGGTCCGGGGAGGCCCGCGGGAGTGTGCACACACCCCCACTGCACCACCACCCACCTCCTGTTGCAGCTTGTCCACAGCACTGGTCACGCCTTCATGGCCCGGCTGGTGGTACCGCTTGGTCATGGTGTCCTTCAGGTTCTCCTTGAGCTCGGTGTTCAGCTGGGGGTGAGGTGGTGACAGCTCCAGCTGCACAGTCTCAGACACCGCCCCCCCCCCCCGGGGTGGGACGGGTAGAGGCAGATGCCGATGGGGAAGAGGTTCAGGGAGGCCACCAAGCAGCACTAGGGCCCGATGCCGGCTGGGGAGAGGGGGCTCGGCTGGGGGAGTCACCAGGTGGCCATGGACAGGGTTGGGGACAGGGAGGGAGCTCCAGATCCCATGGACACTTTCATCCCTGCTGTCTGTCCCCACAGTGACCCAGTCCCGCCCCCCGGGGCCTGATGGCCCAGTGGTCGGCTCTGGAGCATGGGGGGTTGTGTCTGTGTGTGCGTCCGTGTACCCCTGTCTTCTTACACGGCACATCTGTGTGTATATGGACCTGTGTATCCCCACATGCACACGTCCATCTTACTGCATGTGTGTCCCTCCGTGTTCCTGTCCGTCCAGGCCCCTCACCTGCTGGTAGTAGATGTAAGCCAGGATGCCAGCAATAATCTCCAGCAGAAAGATGATGAGGAGCAGGATGAAGTACTGGGGGTGGGCAGGGACCCAGTTAGGTGGGGCTGGACACAGACCTCCCTGTCCCGTGAGGACTCCTAGTGTCCAGGCACAACAGAGCAGAGCCCCCAGCCTCAGACCCCAAGTGGCCACAGAGGGCTCCAGGCAGCAGGTGCATGCTGGCAGTCCCCGATGCCTTCCCTCGGAGCTGCTGTCTTCCCTCAGCGCGCCCAGCCGGGATGTGGGGACTCGGGGCTGGGACCCCCCACCGCCACAGTGAGCACAGCAGAGGCTGCAGTGTCACATGTGACCTCCAACATTCCCTTCTTTCTCATCAGGGCCCTCCCAGCAGCCTGGTGGGGAGCCCCCCTTCAGGTACACCCCCACCCCCACCCACCACCCCAGTGCCGGCCACGCCCTGCTAACCAAGCGCAGCAGTTTCCTCCGTTCCTTGAAGGTGGCACAGCAGCCCAGAACACCGGTCACCATGACAACGACACCGGCCACCACCAGGATGTAGGCTGTGGCCAGGTAGGTGCCTGAGGCCAGCAAGCTGATGTAGTCACTCTTGAGGGCGAGCGTCCAGACACCCACTGCCATAACGGCCAGACCAGCCAGCTGTGGGCAGTGCACACTGGTCACCACCTCTGGCCCCAGGTCTGAGATGGGGCTGAGCTCCCAGGCCAAGGCTCCTTCAGGGACCAGGGAAGGGAGGGAGGAGAAGACAGCCGGTGGAGGCAAGGGGAAGGGGCGCCCGCTCCTCACCCAGAAGCAGCAGTTGAAGGTGAAGAGCAGGTACTTGAGGCAGACGGTTCCGCATGTCGCCTTCTCACTGAACTCCCCCATCCTGGAGCTGAGAAGCGAGGGGACGTCAGAGAGCCCACAACACCAGGACCTGACTGAGAGGTCAGCCAGACACCAGTGGGGACAATAGGAGGGGACACAGATGCCCAGGCCGGCCCCTGGCTGAAGCCCAGCCAACCGTCTGCCCCGAATGAAGGGCCCAGGAAGGTGTCCATGAGAACCAGGACGCTTCCTGGGAGAGCAATTCAGGAGCCTCACCCCCCCCCAGCCCCCCAAACCCGCCCCACGCTGCCAGGGTGGGTGTTTACTGCCCACAGCCAAGCTGAAGGCCAGGCCCTGGAAGGCTGAAGGGCCTGGCTTCCTTGACCAGAGCCCAGGGCACAGAGAGACATGAAGGACCCCAACCATTACCGGCTGACTCACCCCTGCTGGCAGCCAGGGTAGGAAGCCCCAGCAGGCACCTCAGGGTGAGCTCATGCAGGCTCCACCCCCCACCCTCCCCCCACACACAACATTCCCGGGGCTCCACGTCACAGGCTGGCAGGAGCCTACCGGCGGCTGGAGGAGAGGAGGCCACTCAGACTGATCTGCCCCTCACTGGTGACGTGGCCTCAGGGAAGCCCCTCAGGTTTTTGTTAAACGGAAGGCCTGCCTTCCTCTTCACCAGGGTGGGAAGAATAGAGCAGAAACACATTCCCCAGTCCTGGGGGGTACTTCCTCGATTGGTCCTCATTAATGGAAAGGGGACAGCCCCCCCCAACCCCAGCAAGACAAGAAGCTACGGGCTGTGCTCCTCCCTGGTGGCACCCGGGGACACCCTGCCTGCTCTGCTGTGGGGTGTCTGCACTGGGGAGGGTGGGAGAGGGCTGGACGCCCCAGGCCACGTTTCCAGACAGGCCCAGCACCACCCAGAGCTGAACTTTCACCCGCCCCACCCAGCACTCACCTGGCTGCTGGGGGGGCAGGTTCCTCTGTCAGGAGGTGTCCGGAAGTTCCCTAGGAGGCTCGGCTAGAAGGGCAGGGACAGGTCACAGGTCTGGCCCACGCTGGATAGGCAGGATCCGGTCACCCTTCCTTGTGGCCGCTCCCGGCGGCGGATCAGAGCAGCTGGGCTTCCTGAGTAGGCAGCGTCCACTCCCAGCGGCAGGGAGGAGAGAGGTCAGGCCCGGTATTTTGGTCTGGGCTTGGGTGGGCAGGGCAGAAAACATTTCTGGACAGTGTGATCCTGGGAGGGGAGGGATCACTCCCTTCTCCAGGCACCCCACCCTGGGCCTTCCTGCCAGACCCGCCCCTGCCCCTTACCCTACCAAGCAGCAGTACCTGCAGCCCGGGCAGAAAAAAGACGCAGCCCCGTACCACGGAGCTGGGCGTATGGAAGCCCCACGCGCCCGCCCGCTGGCCCTGGGCCCGTGGAGAGGTCCCAGCCCCCGCCGCCCGCGCGCGGACGACCGGCGGAGGAGGGGCCCCTCTTTCCGGGAGCGCCTGGCGGATGTGAGCCCCCTGGGAAAGTGTCGGCCAGAAATAGTTCCTCCGGCCTGGGACAGAGCTGCCCCACCCCAGCCCCTGCAACTCAGCGGGGCCGTCGGCGGCCGGGGCAAGGCCAGGAGCCCCGCACTCCGCGCCAGCCAGGCCCGGGGAGGCAGCCGCGCGTCACCGCGGTGAAGCCGCCGCCCCTGCCCGGGCGAGCCGACGGCGCGCCCACTTGCACCCAGGCGGAGGGAAGGGCACCGATGGCCAGAGACAATGACCAAGGTGCTCAGATGGGGCCGAAGGGGCCCCTAGGCCTGTGCGAAGACCCAGGAGGCGCCTCGCCCCCGCCCCGGAGGCCCCTCCGCCCACCCGGCTCCCCGGTGTCCGGCTCCCTCCGGAAAGGGCCGGCGCGCGCTGCTGCCGGGTCGGCGGACCGGGCCTCCCAGCCCTCCCGGCCCTCCCTCCTGGCGCCTGCAGCCGGGCCTCGCGGTCCAGACCGCCCACGGCCCCGGGACACCCGGCCCCTCCCGGCCCGCCTGGCCAGGCGGCAGACTCACCCGCCACGCGTCCGAGTCCCGCCGGGCGGCGACGGGGGCGGGGGCAGGGTTGCGGGGGGGGGCGGGGGAGGAGGCGGCTCGGAGCGCGGAGACTGCAAGCGGGTTCGGGCCCTGCGAGGGCGACGCGCCCCGCCCACGACCCGCAGGCCCCGCCCACGGCGGCGGGCGCGGGGCAGGTCCCAACAGTGCGCCGCTGCGAAGGGCGGTGCGGCGGGCACTTCAGCCGGCGCCGGCGCTAGCGCTGGGGGGCCGCCCGGGACTGTGGAGGCGGGCGTGCTGCAACCCGCGGGCGCCCATAGCCCAGCCAAGGTCTTACACCCTCGCGAGACGGAGGAGCTGGGCTGGGGGCGGTGGAGGCGGCGGCGGCGGCGGCGACCAGCCTGGCCAGGGCTCTGGACGGTGTCCAAGACCCGGCCCTCCTCCAGGCCCAGCCCCGGTTCTGGTTCTCTCCTCGAAACCCAGGGACCACCCGGAGGCTGCAGGGTCGGCAGAACAGATGCTGGCCTTGGGGAAGGATCTGGAGGTGTGATCAGATGCAAGAGTGGGGTCTCTCTGGGTGCAGTATGGAGGACAGCCTGGAGCGGAGGCCTGGGGTCCCTGCCAGAGACAGTTCAGTCTGGAAGGCATCGGTCCTGGGAGGGGTGGAAAGGGGTGAGGGAAACAGGGCAGAGCCTGCTGACCTGAGAGACTGGGAAACCGACAGACAGTGGGAGTAAGGATGGGGAGGGGACTCCCAACCCACCAGGCTCATTCCCAGACCCAGGCAGGGTCGGTCAGAATCTGCAGTCATTTGGAATAGTTCTCCATGGACAGTGGGCAGCACTCGTCCCCAGCTCCTTTCCCAGGGTTCATGATTCTGGCCAGCAGCTCCCAGCTTCCCAAGGAGGGTGGAGGGAGGGGCGTGAGAAGTGGCTGCAGACCTACCCCTTTGGAGGTCCCACTCAGGGCGGGCTGGTTTGGGGATGGGGTGGTCAACTGAGGCCGGGAGGAGACAATGGGCCTCAGTCCCTGTTCCCACAGAGGGGCCCCATGGGACTTCAGCTTTAATGGACAGCAAGGTCTTGAAGGCGTGACCAGAGACATGCGGGGACATCCACAGCCCCAGCACCACAGGGCCCTTCACCTGTGCCACACACATCCCACTTGCCTTGAGTGTACCATGGACACCCCGTGTGTGTAGCACACACGTGCTGTGGCTCCCGCCCACATAGGCCAAGGAGGTCACAGTGTAGTCATGGACTTTATTAGGAGAAGGGCGTTCTTCTGCTGGTCCCCAGCAGAATTTGATGGGATGGGGACAGGATGAGGGCCAGCAGAGAGGCACAGGAGACTCTGACCACTCCTAGGTTAGTTCCTTCATGTCTGCATGCAGGCAGGCCAGACAGTCCATTAAATAGAGCCCACATCCTGGATGGGCAGCCCCTAGCCACGACGCACCACCTTCAAGGGGCAGCTTCTCCAAGTAACACCCAGGGAGTCTCTTGGGGATGGTCAGCGGGCACTGGGAAGGTGGCCAGAGCCACGTCTCGGAGGGCGAGCCCAGCTGCAGCAGCAGCAACAGGTAGGCCCCGGTAAGCGGGCCACAGCCAGAGCTTTCCTTCGACCACTGCCCAGCCGCTTGGCCTCACAGGCGTCCCTCTGGTCCCGTAGCCGCGTGTTCAGCTCCCTAGGAAAGGGGAGTCCACGGGCCCTAAGAGGTCTCAAGAGGCAGCATTCCTGGATGGGGAATACGGGCTCTGCTCTCCCTCAGACCAGAAGAGGGGTGTCTGGCTGGGGCTGCCGCATGAGGGATGGAGGAGAGACACAAGGAAGGATTTCCTCCACGTGGGATGAGGCAGTGGTCAGGAATGTCGGGAGCTAGGAGCTCCCGAGCTGTGACAAGCCCCTTCCCTCGCGGGGCCTGAGCCAGACCGCACCTGAGGAGTTCCAGTTGTCGCAGGAGGCTGAGCTTCTCTTTTTGCATGTTCCTCGAGACTGCGACCACCTCTCTGCAGGAGGGAGGAGGTGACCGGGAGGCAGGGAGGCTCGTCGGGGCGTCCCAGGACCCTAGCCTACGCAGACCCTGAGGGCGGGGCTGGGACATGGGATGGGGATGGAAGTGGCCCAGACCTGAGCCCCAAAAGCGATCCGGTCCCGCCTCGCCCCCCCGGCCCCACCCCCTCCCCGGGCCCGCCCCTGAGGGTTGGCCTCCTCCCTGCTCCCCCAGGCACCGTAGGGTTTGCTCCCGGCGGCCCTGCACATCGCCCTCCAGTCTCCGGAGCTGCTCCTGCGCCCCCTCCAGCTGAGTTCTCAGCGCCTCGTTGGCTAGCCACAGCTGCGCGCTCTGCGCCTGCGCCTCCCGCTGCTCCCTGGCCCGGGTCTGCAGCTGCTGTTCCAACTGGGGAGTGAGGGGGGGATCGAAGCTGGGGACGACCCCTCCACCGCTTCTTCAGGTTGCTGCGTTTGCCCCTGACTCCCAGCGGTTCCGGGGCCGGGGGCACTGAGGCCCAGGGGACCTCAAGCACACCGTGCGTGGGTGACGGTGGGGACAGGGCCCTGGGCTCCGCGGGTCCCACCCTTCCCCGGCAGGGGCGGGCGGCCACTCACCTCCCGCTGTCGCAGGCCCGCGCGCTCCAGTTCCTGCTCGCGGCTCTGCAGCTCCAGCTCCAGGAGGCCTCTGCGCTCTTCCCGGGGGAGGTCCTGGGATTCGCGGGGAGCTCCTGAGCCTCAGCGGGCGGTGGAGGGGCAGGGACGGGGGTGTGTGGGGGGCGTGGAACGGAGTCAGGGAGACACGTGCGTCTGGGATCGGGCTGCGCGGGGCTGGGCTGGGGCGTCAGGCCCACCTGACTCCGCAGACGCTGGCGCTGCTCGCGAAGCCGCTGCTCCATCTCCTCGTACAGACACCGCACCTCCCTCTCGTGCTCGCTCTCCCGCCTTCGGGGGGCAGGGGGTGAGGCAGCTGCTTTGAGCCGACCCGCACTACACCCCCCAGCCCCGCTTCTACTGCCTCCCGAAGTCCAGCCGCCTGGGCCCCAGGCCCCGCCCTGGTCCCAGCCCTCACCGCCGCAGCGCCTGCTCCAGGCTGTCCCGCTCTCGGGCCGCCTCCTCCAGGCAGGCCGTCGCGCGCATCAGAACGTCCTCGAAGGAGCCCAGCAGCTCGGGTCGCTCGCGCTGCAGCTGGGTCCAGAGCGTCCGCACCGCTTGCTGCCTGCAGGGGGAGGGCAGGGGCTGAAACTGAAACGGGGGCTCACCGATCCCATCCTGAAGGGTAAGCCTTCTGGAGACTTGCAGCCCTGGATAGACCAGCTGCGTTTGCTGCATGTGGGGTACCCTCTCGTGGGTGCTTCTGCCCCTGCCTGAGGTCGGTGTGTACGGGGCTTGTAGGGCAGCGAGGTGCTTTGTATACACACAGGGCTGTGCCCAGCGCCTGCCCTTCTTCCCACAGCCTTGTCGGCTGCCCCCTGAAATGCAAATTCTGCGGGAAATCACGCTCAGCCCCTCCCAGGTGTCACAGCTGACAGAGACCGACTGGGCCAGTCCCAGTGTAGGGACCCTGAACTGGAACAGACACGAGCGACGAGGACAGGCAGCGTGCACGGGGGAGACAGAAGAGGGAACTGGGAGCCGCCTCGGCACCAACTCACTTGCCCAGGGCTGGGGCCACCCCCAGCTGCTCCAGCACTTCGCAGAATCTCTCCTCCTCCTCTTCCTCCAGAGAGCCCTCAGTGCCTTGCACATCTGACCAGCCCGACTCAAAGGTTTCCTCGGGAGCCCGGGAGGGCAGTGCACCCTGGGCTGACTCCACCCCCACAAACTTCCCTGTGGGCATGGGAAGGTGAGATTACCAAGGCTGTGGGTTGGCACCCCGCTCAGCCACCACTCGCCCCCCCGCCCCCCACACACATCCTGTCCTTATTCTGAGCCCAGTTTCCTGTTTTTCTTCCTTATTCTGGCCTGATTCTTGGTTTAGGAATGGGAGATAACACCCACCCGGGCCAGAGTGGAGCAAGCCTGGCTCCCAGCCCCACTGGGGTTTGGCACGGAAGGGAGGGGGTCATGGAGCAGGAGGGTCAGCTGCACACCTCTGGTGACATCTGGTGCCTGTGTGTATTGATACCAGTCTGTGCTCCGTAGGAAGGCCATGGCGAGGCACAGGCAGCCATGTGTGTTGGGTGTGGGCCCCACATGTGCCAGTGGAGGGTCTCTGCGCAGTGGGGTGGGGGGGAGGGGGGGCTTCGGGGGCTCATCTCACCCAGGCCGAGGCAGAACTCCCAGGCGGTGAGGAAGCCTGTGTGGGCCTGATCCAGGCTTTCGAACACAGCCTCTAGCTGCTCAGGCGTGAGGGGCAGGTCACTCTGTAGACCCTAGCCAGGCAAGGATGGCAGGGCTGAGCAGCCAAGGTCGGCCCCTGGCTGGGGCAGCCTCCTGGGACTGGGGATTCACCTGCAGGTCATGCCGAGTGATGAAGCCCTTGGCGTCCTTGTCACAGAGCAGAAACAATTCCTGGGCCTGCTCTAGCACCTCTGCCCTTGGCCTCCCGGCGCTCCCCTCTTCCACTTCCTTCTCCTCCTGGGCCTCCCCAGCACCGGGCTTCCCAGGCCTGGCCATGGGAGTGGGGGTCTCTGCCATCATGCGCTGTGAAGTCAGGGAACAGTCAGGGCCGAAGCAAAGCTCAAGAGAGATGAGAGTGGGAGAGAAGGGAAGGTGGAGTGGCCATGGGTGGGGACTAAGCTGGGCTTGTAGGGAGCCGTGAGTGAGCAGAGGGGCCTCCCTGCACCAGGTGGGAAGCCGGGAGAAGGCATGGCAGAGGTCCAGAGAGGAGTGTAGCTGGGGGCAGGACAGTCACTTGGGGGTAGTGCTGCAGGCAAGGGGTGTCATGGGTGGGAGTGAAGCAGGCTCCAGGCCTGTGGGCTGTGGGGGCTGCCCAGGGAGCTAGAGGCTGTGGCTCAGGGGGCAGCCAGTGCAGGAGGAGAGGAGCTGGGAGAGGGCAACCTGGGGCGGGGGGGAGGCAGCCACAGAAGACCTTGTGATGGAAAATAAGGAGGTGGGGGCTCCTGGCAGCTGAGGGGAGAGAGCTTGGGTGAGGGACTGGCCAGCGGAGGGGAGGAGCTGAACAGGTCCTAAAGCTGGACACCTGGAGACCTGGCTGACCGGGCTGGGCCAGCGGGAGCGTTCAGCCAATGCTGGCTAAGTCTTTAGCCCCTGAGTCTGGGCCTCAGACGTCCTGGCCTCCAGCCGGCTGGCCGACGACTTAACCTCCTCCCCTTCTGCCGCAGCCCCTCCCACCGGGCCCCTGGCCCCAAGGGTTGCAGATGCAGGGTTTCAGCCTGGTACGCCCATGCCTTCCATGGCCCTTGTCAAGAACACGCCAGATTCTAGGCTTGATGGCCCTTTCCCCAAGCACGAGGCACTTGTGGTCCGCCAGACCCCTCCAGTTCGCGGAAACTTCGCGGGGCGCCCCGCCCCCTTATCAGAGCCACCTGTCGTTCCCACAACGCCCTGGTCCCGGATTTCCCAAAGCTAACCCCCAGTGTGGCGACATTTCCCCCAGTCTGGGGGATTCTGGGGTCCTCTCCTCTCAGTCCAGGACCTTGATTTTCTCTCCCGCCCATATTATATTCCTCGGGCGGAGGGGTGTCGGGGCGCAATCCCCAAAGAGTGCAGGTCTGAGGAAAGGCGGGAGGAGGGGACCGGGGGGCTCAGGACCGTCTCCCCCCTCGCGCCGTCGCCTCGCCCCGGCGGGCGCCCCCACCCCACCCCCCGCGGCTCGTGGGCTCCCGGGACTGGAGGTCCGTCCCAGCCGGAAGCTGTGCGGCGCGGGCCGGGGGAAGCGGGGAAGAAGGGCGGGCCCGGCCCGCGAGCCGCTGCGCCCACCGCCGCTCCGCTCCCCAGAGCCCCGACGTCCCCGCCGGCCAGACGCGAGGGTCGGCGCGCCCCGCGGCCACCGGGGAGGGGGCGCGGCGGCGGGACCCCCGAGGCGCTTACCTGCGAGCCGCCCGCCGCACCTGCCGCGCGGCCCGCAGCTCCTCTGGAAAGGCGGCGGCGCGCGGGGGGGCGCGGGCCCGGAGCTGCTCCCGCTGCCCTGCAGCAACTGAGACCCCGGCGTGGGCCGGGCCCGGGCGGAGCCGCCGCCGCTACCGTCCCAGTGTCTCCGCCTCTCGGCGCTGCCCCGGAGGCCCGGCTCTCGCCCCACACCACGCCCGGTCCCCGGCCCCCGGCGTCCCCGCCGTCTGTCCCGACTGCGCGGATTTCACGGCCGGGCGGAGATGCCCCCGCTGGTCTGGGGACACTTCCCGAGCAGGGCTAAGGCGAGGAGGGTGGGGCTGTCCTGAGGATCCGGATTTAAGGCGCCAAAAAGTGTGTGCAGGACCAAGCCAGGCAGGAGACAGACCAAAATATTTTCAATGGTTATCTCTCGGAGTGGGGGGCACTTTACTTTCTTGCCTATGCTTTCCCAGTTTTCGTCTTTCCCGTGGTTAAACAATTAGCTCGCAATATATTACAAAATGGTATTTAAATTAGCGCCATGATAGCTGTGCAAGCGTGAGAGCCAGTGAGTTGGGGTGGGAGCAGAAGGAAGCCCTCTCCTCTGCAGCCTGCCCCCAAGCTCTCCTTTTGGGGCACAGCCCTGACTTGGGTTCCCTTTGCAGGAGCACTGGGAGAAGGTGCCGGGTGGGGCTGGCATGGGAACTTCCGGCTGGGGGGAGAAAACCCATTCTCTTGCCAAAGGTCCCCCTCCCTAGCCCCAACCCAGCCCCTGTACCCACCTGGAGGGTGGTTGGGGGTCCGGAAACCTCTGCTTCTCCAGGGGCCTGGGATCCTGCTGAACTAGAACAGGTTGGGCCTACAGGACAGGACCTTGAGAGCCAGAGGGGGACGGCTCCTGGCACAGGCACGTGGGGACCTGCCAAGCCGGCTCTCCCGGTCCTGCAGTCCCACCGTTATTGTTGGCTGGGGGCTGCCACCACCGCCATAGCCGCCTGATACCTCGGTCAGGACTAAGAGCTCTGGACAGCCAGCCAGCCACCCAGCTCTGCTCCAGTGCCCCTCAACCATGGGCCATTTTGGTCACCAAAAAGGGCTGCATCCCCTCAGACTGTCCAGATCAGAGGATGCTTTCAGGAAACTATGCCTCCCACGGAACAAGGTCCAGCCTCCTCAAGATCAGACCTCACCCAACCTGACATTCCATACTCCTCCAATATATTGGCAGACTGGGTACCCCGTGTGGTGGGGAAGGGGGCAGGGGATCGAGAAGGTGTGTACGCTGGCCAGTGAGGTTTGCCAAGGGGGAAGGCCCAGCGCCTTGCGCCAAATGCCCAAAGTGGAACAGGTCCCATGTCTCCCAGGTCCTCGGTGCTCAGCTGGGGAACCCCACCCTCCATAGCCATCCAACCCTGAGATCAGCCCCACACCACCTGCGTCACCACTGAGTGGAAACGAAGACGCCACCTTTTGTAAATATTTCTTAGTTTTTATTTAGCAGGGATCTTGGTCCCAATATTTCTGCTGGCCCTTGGAAAGCTGTGCCCAAGGGCCAGCCAGCAGACCTCAGGACAAAGTGGGGCAAACGTACGGGCCCCAGCCAGAGACGTGCACTAGAATCCAGGAGGCCCACGAGGGCCTTTAGGGGAAGGCCTCAGGCCTGGCTGGCAGGACCAAAGGCCAGGCTCAAGGAGCACAGGACCCCCGAAAGCCTGACCCAAAGTAGAGACATTGGCCAGGGAGTCACACACGAGTGGAGGCGGGGCTGAGCCGTGGCATTTATTACATACGCTTTGGCGAAAATAAATAATTCTTCACATACGTTCTTCAGCAAAACATGACAAATGTGGAGGGAGGAGCAGGTGCAAAGTTCTCAGGGGTAATACTGCACTGACTTGGGGGCCCCAGGAAGTGCAGCCCCACCCTCCTCCCCAGTTCTGGGGTGGGCCTGAGGGGGAGACTAAGGCACAGGTGCAGCCCGTGAGTGGTTGGTGGAGGGGGTTGATAGCAAGTGCCCTTCTAGCAGCTGTGAGGGACCCCATCTCCTTACTGCTGCAGGGGTAATGGAGAGAGGCCAGGGAGTGGGGGGGGCGTCTTCAGCCCGCCCCAGGGCCCCACCTCACAGGGCAGGGAAGCTGGGGGGCCCAGCCCTCAGCACCGGGGCCCCAGGGGGCTGGGGAAGGGTGGAGCAAGGGTGCTCAGCAAGGGGGCACGGCGGGTGGGAGTTGTGGGGGCGTGGGGGCAGGGCTGGCGGGAGCACGCATGCGCAGGGCATCCGGCGGGAAGGCCACGTTGGTGCAGAGAAGGCCCAGGAGCAGCTGGCGCTGGCGTTCCTCCCACTTGGCCAGCACGTCCCCTAGCGACAGGCTGTTGCGCATCCAGCTGGGCAGCGCCTCACTGTAGGCCGCACAGGACAGCGACACAGAGGGCAGCGACTGCGTGCGCCGTAGCTCCATCTGCTCTGACAGCCTGCAGGGGGAGGGATGGAGGGCCAGAGGGCTTCCGTGGACGCCACTGAGGCTTCGGGCCCTGGGCAGACACAACGGGGGGGGGGGGGCTCACCTGGAGGGCAGGTGGCTGCCCAGCTTCCTCTTGGCTCGCATCACCAGGTACTGGCAGATGCTACCCGTCTGCTCCTTCATCCACCGGATGTCCTCAGGGACGTCAGGCAGCCACTCCAGCAAGCTGGGGGGGACGGGAGGCATGGCCTCAGGGTCTGCGGCTCGGCCCTCACACCCATGCCCGCTCTACCCCCACCTGTGCCCCAGCTTCTGGAAGCCTCGACACGGCATCTCTGCAGCCTCCCCCAACCAGTGGCCTTTTCCCTCTAGGGCGTCCACCACTCATGGATGACCCCAAAGTTCGGTCCCCCGTGCTCCCTGCCCCAAACCCCCTACTCCCCTCACCGGATGGTGAAGGACACCGCACTCTCCAGCGGCAGAGTGTAGGGCACCATCATGGCTGTGGCCAGACGCACAGGCAACATGTTGGAGAAGGTGGTCAGCAGGTCCTTGGGCTCTATGCAGGCCTCCAGCAGGGCTGGGGGTGGGACGCAGGAGGGAAGCTGACCGCCAGGTGGGGAGGCCAGGACCTCTCTGCTCCTTGGCTTCCCCCCCCAGGAGCCCCCGCCCCCCCACCTCGCCTCCACACACCCTCATTCCCCCCACAGCCAGGAGCCCCCGCCCCCCCACCTCACCTCCACACACCCTCATTCCCCCCCCAGCCAGGATCCCCGGGTCCCCTCCTCCTCCCCCCCCCCCCCCCCCCCCCGCCCAGCCAGGAGCCCCCGCCTCCACACACCCTCATTGAGCCGTGAAGGCAGATGCTCTAGGATGTGATCCTCCATGGGTGGCTGCAAGTGGCTGTCCACTGGGGCCCTCTCTGTGGCCGCCTGAGCATCCTCCATATCCTCATCCTTGGGGGGAGGGGGGTGTGCAGGGGGCAGCGCCAGCAGAGGGTTGGGCCGGTTCAGGAGGCCTGGGTGGGGACCCCCAGACGGGTGATCAGCACTACAGCCCGGACAACAGTGCAGAGCCACCGTCCCACCCCGCCCACAGCCGCTCCAGGGGGCACCCACGCACCGTTGCGCCTCAGAAAACGCAGGCCGTCCCTATAGCCCTGCTTGCACATCTCTCGCAGCACCTGAGGCAAGGGCGTGGTAAATTAGAGCAGGCGGCCACATGAGCCCTGTCCTGCCCCCTAGAGGCCCTGGCGTCCCTGCTACCCCTCCCCTGCACCAAGCTAACTTGGATCCAGGCTGGACAGGTAGCCCCAGTGGAGAGGCCCTGCAGGCCCCCGCCTCCCCGGCACAGGGCTCACCGGGGGCTCCAGCGGACTCACCGCGGGCTCGGGCGGGAACAAGGCCTTGGACAAGCGGTACAAATTGCGCAGGTTGAACTGGATGCTGGTGTTGGTGACCCGGAGCTCATGGATGTTGGTGGAGCTGTCCTGTGGGCAGATGTCACTCTCCCCCGAAAAGGGGGACACGGTGATAGTGTTCTTGAGCTCATAGAGTGGCAGGTTGTCTGAGATGCCACCATCAACATAGCGCTGCGGCCGGGACACATGGTTACACAGGGAGGGGCCTGAGGACCAAGCTGGCTAGCCTACTGGGCCACCTTGGGCCCCACCCAGTGTCTACTTCCTTTGTGCCTTTCACCCACTGGGCACTGGGCACTGGCCATCTGGCCGCTGGGCAGATGGCTAGACCATGGGGGCGGGGTGGAGACAGCCACAGGAAGTATGTGTCTCCAGGGGGCCTGCCTGCTGTTGAGCAACTCGGGGGAAGTGAGGCAACAGGTAGTGCAGGGGAAATGGGGGGCGGGCACCGACGGCCTTCCTCTTCTCCACTGCCGTGCCCCACTGCTCACACACTGGCCAGCTCTTACCACCCAGGAAATGTGCCAGGGGGTACTTACTACGCCCTGGAGGGACGGAGGGATGAGGCCGCAGTACACAGGGATGAAGGTGCTGCAGACATTGGCCTGTGGGGCAGGGACAGGGAGGGGTGGTGAGCAGAGGCCTGGAGTTCGTAGTACACCCCCAATGCGGCCCCACCAGGGCCCACCTGGATGAGCTCATCCTTGGAGTTGAAGTGGGATATAATGACGTTCTCGCCGTCAGAGACACGGGTCAGGGAGATGCCCAGGCGCCCACCGGCACGCTCGTGGCTGTCAGCAGGCAGGGTCTTCAACAGGCAACCACGGATAATCTTTACCAGGTTGAAGGAGGGGTGCAGTGGACCCAGGAACCGCTTCCGGGCTTCCTTAGACACCTCGATGATGTTGGCACCTGCCTCGCCTAGGTCAGAAGGGCCAAGGGTCAGGGGCCAGCACTCCTGGCTTAGCACACCCCCCATGGTTCCACACGCAGAGTCCCACAGCACACAGACTCGTGGCATCTCCATCTACCCTGGAAATTCCCAGTATCCAGCACGGGGCCTGGCCCACAACTGCGACTTCTGCTACCTGCCCCTGGAGAGACAGAGGCAGGCCACCACCCGGGGAGGGCTGACAGCTGCGGCCAAGGCCTGCCCTCTGCCCGGTATTTCCCAACTGCTTGGCCGGATCCATGCGTCATTAGGCCTGGCCTGGCGTGGCCCCCAGCCTGGGAAGAGGGGAAGGCAGAAGTTCAACCCTGACCAGTCTTAGCCTTCACCCACTTGGCCAGATCCAGATCCAGGGAGCCCAGCACAGGCCTGTGGGCATGAGGCTGGAAAGAGTGGGGTCCCACCACCCCTGAAAAAGCACAATCGTGACCCACTGCAGCCAAGACCAAGCTCCTGCCAAGCAAGACTCTTCCTGGGAGCCCATGGGTGCTGGCCTCACACAAAGACAGAAGTAGGGGTCCTGGAGTGGTCGCAGAGTGGGAGGGACTTGGGGAGGAGCTGCAGATCACACAGTCGTAGTCAGAAGTGGGGTCAGAACCTGCCATGCTGTGGGGAGACTGCAGTTGCCCAAGACCACTCCTGAAAAGAGGCTTCGTGGGGGTGGGAAGAGGAGGTCCTGTGAGAGCCAGGTGTGTCCTGAGGCCAGCAGGCAAGTCTGAGAGACACAATGGCCTGAAGGCTTCCAAGGGAGGGAGGGGCAGGGCCACAGAGGTGAACCCCCAGGTCCCAAGGATGCAGAGTTGTGCTCCTTCCACGCCATCTCCCTCAGGGCAAAGTTCATGGGAAGGGGGCAGGGAAGAACCCTGGACAGGCCTCTGCTGGGCTTGGCATTTGAGAACTGATGACCCTTCTGTCACCTTGGCTGCCCTAGTAGGTTGGGGGCTGGACACCATTCCCAGGACTCCCTAAGTACTCAGTGTGCCGTAAACAGCACTTGTAAGTGCCCTGCCGGAAGTGTGTGTGGGTGGAGAAGCCCATCCCAATACACACAAACTGCAATGCCGCCCACGGGGCTGGAGAGTTCAGAAGCACCTCCCACCCCAGGGAGTGGGCAAAAAAACGTTGGCCACAACTGGGGACCCATCCACAGACTGACCCATAAATATCTAGGGGCGGATGCAAATCACGCCCACAGTGGGTGATGTGCTGGGGGGAAAGGAGGGGAGGGGAGGGCTTGCCATGCCCGGGCCTGAGCTTCCAGATGCCCTGGGAGGCACCAGGCCACAGTGCCCAAATGCTCTTAAGAGGCCACCCTCATGGGCGCCTGGGTGGCTCAGTTGGTTAAGCGACTGCCTTCGCCTCAGGTCATGATCCTGGAGTCCCAGGTTCGAGTCCCGCATCAGGTTCCCTGCTCGGCAGGGAGTCTGCTTCTCCCTCTGACCCTCTTCCCTCTCGTGCTCTCTATCTCTCATTCTCCCTCTCTCAAATAAATAAATAAAAATCTTTAAAAATAAATAAATAAATAAATAAATAAATAAATAAATAAATAAATAAAAAAGAGGCCACCCTCATACAGGGCCCCGGGGACACGGCAGCCTGGAACAGCGCAGCGCCAGGACACGGTGACCGCTGGCATCCAGTCCACTGCCAGGCTACGGGGGTGGTGAGGCCCCTCCCCCAACTCTCACGGTCCCGCCCACGAGTTACTTTCTCTTCCCAATGAAATACGTCGGCTGCACCTGCCAGACCCTCCAGCCTTTGCACCCTGAGCCACGGCGCCAGAGATGCGCATGGCCGCACCCCAATCCCGGGGCGCCTCGGAGCAAAACAAACGAGGCCCCGCCCCGGGGCCTGCTCCCGGGATCCGAGCTTCAGTGGGGGTCCTGGGCGCGGGCAGAGACCCCTCCCCACCGCACGGCGGCCCGGCCAGCTTCCCCTTGCGGAGGGACGCGGGGGGGGGGCGCTCTACGCTCCCGAAGAGCATCCGCCCGGCCTCGGTTCACCGAGGCAGGGTCCCCCCCCGCGTCCGGCCTCCGCTTGCCCAGGCAGGACCCCTACCGGACCCCCGCCCAACCCCGCTCACCCAGGCAGGCTCCGGTGACCAGCGCCGTGGCCGTGAGCGCCCCGGCCGAGGCGCCGTAGATGTGCGTGGCGTTGGCCACCAGGAAGGGCGCGTGCTCGCGGAGGCAGGAGGCCACGCCGATGTGGTAGACGCCAAGGAAGCCGCAGCCCGCGAACGAGATGTTCCACGTCGCCTCCTTGGGGAACATCGCTGCGGCCCGCCGGGCTCCGGGGCTCGCTGCGCACCGCGCGCTCACTCTAGCTCTGGGGCCGGGGTCGGTCCCGCGGTCGCTCCAGCTCCAGGTCTCCGCCAGTAGAGGCGGAGACGCTGCGCTAGACCGCGGCTGCGGCGGCGGTGTTTTTAGTGGGGGTGGGCAGGGGCGGGGCCGACACGCGCGGCCCAATCGGAGCGCGCGGGGAACGGCCGCGCCCTCCGGGGGCCCTGGAGCCCCGCCCCCGGCCCCGAGCCCCAAGGCCGGGCCTCGGGGGGGAGCGCGAGGGAACACACGGTAGCCCAGGGGTGTGGGGAGGGGCGAGCTCAGGCCTGGGACGCACGGAGTCTGGGGCCCTGAGAGCCTCGTACCAATCTGGATACTTGCGAGGGGAGGGCCACTGGTGTCTAGGCAATCACCGCCCCGTTCCTCTGGGGTCTGCCTCCAACACCCACTCTGGACACTGAGGAGCTCGCTCCAGGGCAGGGACACCCCCCCCAGGACCCACTGAGTCACCCACAGACTGACACATAAATATCTAGGGGCGGATGCAAATCACACTCGACCTGCAGAGCTAACACTGCTGCCGTAGACCCCAGCCTGATCTCAGGCCCCAGCTGCCCGCCGCCGCGGCCCCTCCATAGCTGGGCACTAACCTCGGTTTACTTCGTCCGACCTCGGCTCTTCGGGCTGTGGGGTCTACTTGGGTATGACTCCGGCCCCGCCCCGCCCCCGCTAATTGCCCCAGCAGGTGGAGCACTCCAGTGATGTCACCCTCCCGCCCCTTTTCCGCATTTTTCTCCAGGACTGTAGGGCAGGCGTTGGCTGGCTTGCTTCCAGGAGGCAGCCCTGAGCCTCACCCCACTTCCCAAACAAGGAGCTGGTCTGTGCTGGGGTGGTGGGATGCCTCTGTCTCCCCAGGAACACCCACTCCCCAGGCAGGAGCTCAGCTCAAGACCCAGCTGGTACCAGGACTGGAGGTCTGGGCTGTGGCTTGGGATCGCCCACCACCCAGGCCCAGGCTGAGAAGCCAGAGAAGGGCTACCTCCTCGGGACAGGACAGGGCCATCTGGGTCATGATGTCCATCCCTCAGCCTCTGTGCCGTCAGCCACCCATACTTGGCACTGACGGTGTGCCTGGCAGAGGGGCCGGCACAAGATAGAGCAGTTGAGCAAGGTCAACCCAGACCGAGCCCTAATTGGGGGGTAGAGGTGGGGAGACATTGTTTATAGAAGCTCAAAATGAGGACTGAGAGAGGATGGAGTGTGTGGGCAGTTAACCCAGGAAGGACAGAGGGCTGCCCAGGCTATGCCATGCACAAAGGCGCTGGCGGGGTGGGGAGCCCAGGCCTGGGTACTGGGAAAGAGGAAAGCAGGGCGTATCTAACTCAATTTAATCTACACATAAGTGTTCTGTAGTTTGAGAGTACAGATCTGTTGCCTCTTTGGTTAGGTTTATTCCTAGGTATCTCATGGGTTTTGGTACAATTGTAAATGGGATTGATTCCTTAATCTCTCTTTCTTCTGTCTCATTGTTGGTGTATAGAAATGCAACTGATGCTTATAGCAGCAATGTCCACAATAGCCAAACTATGGAAAGAGCCCAAATGTCCATGGACAGGTGAATGGATAAAGAAGACGTGGTTCATATGTACACAATGGAATACTACTCAGCCGGAAAAAAAAAAAAAAGAAAAGAAAAGAAATCTTCCCATTTGCAACAACATGGATGGAAGTAGAGGGTATTATGCTAAGCCAAAGAATTCAATCAGGGAAAGACAGTGATCATATTATCTCACTCATTGTGGAATTTAAGAAATGAAACAAAGGAGCATAGGGGAAGGAAGGGAAAAAATAAAACAAGGTGAAATCAGAGAGGGAGACAACCATGAGACTTTTTTTTTTAAGATTTTATTTATTTATTTGACAGAGAGACACAGCGAGAGCGGGAACACAAGCAGGGGGAGTGGGGGAGGGAGAAGCAGGCTTCCCGCGGAGCAGGGAGCCCGATGTGGGGCTCGATCCTGGGACCCTGGGATCATGACCTGAGCCGAAGGCAGACGTTTAGCGACTGAGGCACCCAGGTGCCCCCCCACAAAAGAGACTCTTAACGCTAGGAAACAAACTGAGGGGTGTTGTAGGGAAAGATGGGGGGATGGAATAACTGTGAAATTAAAGACGGCAAGTGATGTAATGAGCACTGGGTGTTATATGCAGCTGATGAATCACTGAACTCTACCTCTGAGACTAACAACATGCTATGTTAATTAATTGAAATTTATTTTTTAAAAAAGATTTTATTTGAGACAGAGAGAAAGTGTGAGAAAGAGAGAGCGTGAGTGGTGGGGAGGGGCAGAGGGAGAGGGAGAAGCAGGCTTCCCACGGAGCAGGGAGCCGGAGGGCAGGGCTTGATCCCAGGACCCTGGGATCATGACCTGAGCCGAAGGCAGATGCTTCACTGACTAAGCCACCCAGTCGCCCTTAATTAATTGGACTGAATTTAAATAAAATTTAAAAAACAGAAACAAAATAAAAATAATTAAGTCTAAAAAAACCCCTAAAATTTCTTTCTTTTTTTTTTTTTTAAGATTTATTTATTTATTTATTTGACAGAGACAGAGAGAGCAAGAGCAGGAACACAAGCAGGGGGAGTGGGAGAGGGAGAGCAGGCTTCCCTCCGAGGAGGGAGCCCGATGTGGGACTCAATCCCAGGACCTGGGATCATGACCTGAGCCGAAGGCAGACGCCTAACGACTGAGCCACCCAGGCGCCCAAACCCCTAAAATTTCATAAACAACTAGAAAGATAAATAAATTTGACCTAGACAAACTTGACCTTCTGTTGTACATGGGGATCTCATCCCCCAAGTGCTTTGGATGGATGTATAGAGCAGAGAGTACGGCCCCAACAGGATGATCAGGGCCCCTACTGACTGAGCCCCTGGGGATGCTGCCAGAAGCAGCCAGGGGCAGGTGTGGTACCGTGGGAATGAAGCACTCTCAAGGCTGGCCTGGAAAGTCCCGGGGTTCACCAGGGTGACCACCAAGAGGGGAGCTGGGCAGTGCAGGCTGAGCCAGGGACTTAAGAAGGTCCTCCCCTGACCTGCTCCAAGAAGCCAGGGTCCAGGCCCTTCCTGGTTCTGAGGGACTGGGGCCTTGAAGGGTGGCACTGCCCCAGTGCAGGGAGACCTCTGCCCCCATTTCCACACCAGGGTTGAGCTGTTTTGGGTACATATCCCTCCCTCCATGCCCCTGGGAATGTCTGCTCTGGAGCCAGGAACACAACAGCACTTCCAGGAACCCTGGCTCGGGGTGGAAGGTGGGCCTCCCCCTCCACCCAGCCAGCATGGACAAGAAGCCCTGGTGTTTGCTGTGTAATCATTCTGGCAGGTGTCATGCTCCCATGGTGTCCTCTGACTACACGGAGTCCTTCACTTCAGGGTCCAAGGTCTGCCCATGGAATCTGGGTCCTCTCCTCTGGGGAGCCCTCTAGCTGAACCTGGAGCCATGTCCCCTTACCACCTGTGTCCTTGGGCATCCACAATCTGCCTCTCCCAACCCCCACTCACACTTGCCCCTTGCAGCACATGCTGCTGGGAACCTTGCAATGATGCTCACTTCTTCCTCTGGGCCCATGTTCCACCTGCCAGAGGGTAACCGGAGGGGTCTTAGGCCTTCTTTCCCATGCAGACTCCTACCCTGCAGACCCCGTTCTCCAGGTCTCCACTCCCTACCTAAGGAAGGCCCTTCGCCCCCAGCTGTCCCTTGTTACACTCATTCTGTGCTCTTTCCCTGCAGAACTACAGCCGACTGATGGCAGATCCTTTAGAGCTGTAGCCTGGCACACAATAGCTGCACACACCACAGCCTGTTGCTGACCCAGAGCCTTCATCGGGGCAAGCAGAGCATCTGGTAAGCGGGCTGGCATTGGTGGGCAGAGGACCCAAGGCCCAGGATGGCAGTGGGAGGAACTCCGCCTCTTGCCCCCCATCCCAGCCAGAGCTTGGCAGGAGAGGCACAGGCAGGCCTGCCCCAAAGGGACGTCGTGGTCACATGACCCAACATCACTACCTAGAAGCCACTCCCACACCTGCCCAGGCCACGAGTAGCTGCACTAACTCAAAGGACCTATGGGACGGAGTTGCTCGAAGATTAAAGCAGAGCCTGAAGGTGAACTGAACCCAACTCTGCAGGGGAAGTCGGGATCCCATGTGCACCAGGCACCCCCACCCCTCTCTCCTTTTGTGTAACTTAAGAATACTACCAGTCTCAGGGCAACAGAGACCACCCACTGCTGCTTTTTAAGTTTTCCTGTGTGTCCCCCTGAAAGCTTCACTCTGGGAAGGCCCCAGCAGTCCTCAGAAGCCAGGACTGTACCCAAGAAGCCTAACGTCCCCTCCTGAGCCTACTCAAGGCTTGACCACGCCCAAGATCCACAGGAGATGTCCCCCCTCCCAGGTACCTATTTCTGCACCAGATCCCCAGTTTTTCAGGGAGCTCCTTCTGTCTGGGAACTCCACCTCACCAGGAAGGGCTCTGGTTTCTCCTGGAATGAAGGCCTGCCCACCCACCGTGGGGTGGGGCCCCCACACCTGCCCTGTGCCAAGGCCACACTCTTACAAAACGCTCACAAGCCACTTCATAGATACATAAAAAGGGTTTTATTTGCCAGCGGGGGTGGGGGGTGTGAGCAGGAACCTAATCGAACAAGCCGAATCCCATGTCGTCGTCCGACTCCTCCGACTCCTCCTTCTTCTCGTCTTTCTTTTCCTCTGCTGTAGAGAGAAAGGGAGCAGTGAGCAAGGCCCACAGGGCAAGCCGGACTCCCAGCGGAGACCCCGCCCCAGCCTCCACTTACCAGCGGCTGGGGCAGCGCCAGCAGCAGGAGCCGCAGACCCTGGGGCAGCAGACACGGCGACAGCCCCACCAGCAGGCACGCTGGCCAGCTTGCCAATACCTACGGATATCAGGGAAAATGAGACCAGAGCAGGTGCTCAGCCCGAAGGCTACCTCAGAGACAGTCTGCCCAATGTACAGAGGCTCACAGCCAAGTGCCAGAGTCACCAGCTCCTCTGTTCTCTGATAGGCGGCTCTGCCTGTGCCACATACACACACCCAGTCTTCTTCAAGTTCCCTATCTGGAAACTTGGCTTCTAGGAATCCCTCCCCAAGAAACTGAGCCACAGCACCCCATCATGTTTACAACCCAGCAAGCACCGAGTCTGCTGGCTGAGTCCAGGTCCTCATCAGTGAGAGCTCAGACAGGGCTGTTTGAGGAGCTGGCTTTGCCTCACTGAGCCCACAGGGACAGAACAGTCGTCCCAATGGTACAATTTCCAAACACTTCCCATCAGCTCCAGCCTTGTCATCAGAAAACCACCTGCCCAGTAAAGGGGGCAGGGACCTGCGGTCATCCTGGGCAGTCCAGTCTGTGCTCCCAAGCGCCTCACCGAGAGCACATGGTGAGCGGTATTTACAAAATCCGGGTTCCCCTCTGAGAGCTCCGCCCCCCCCCAACCACCCGGCCTGTCTAGAAGCATCCCTGGCACAAGCCCACTGAAGCCTGCCCGCTTCTCTGGGTGAGGCTTCTAGAGTGCTCTGGTCCACAAGCGAAACCTGGCAGGCCACAGGCTGACCAGCAGGCATTAGGATGGACCCCGAGAATGAAAACCCCTGCACACAATCTCACCCTGGGCAATGACGTCTTCGATATTTTTTCCGTTCAGTTCACTGATGACCTAGAATAACCAGAAGCAGCAATTACCAAAGATTCACTAACGCTCCCCTGCCTTAACTTCTCCAACCGGGACAGGGCGGGCCGCAGGAGCGAGCCGAGAGAAGACCCCCCAAAGCCTCCAGGCCTAGCTGTCCAGCCCAGCAGTTACCACCTACACGTGGCTTCCCCGAAGACTCGCTCCAAGGGGGAACCAGGGCACTCCTGAGACGGGTCCCCGAGACAAGACAGCCAAGTATTTCGGTGTAAATCCCACCGCGCGGAAGAACGTCACTAAAGAAGGTGCGCTTCTCTGGAAACAGTTACTGGGAAGTCTGCGGCGGCGGCGGCGCCGTAACTTTCCCGTCCGTTGCCCCGAGGCAGGCTGGGCCTCCGCCTCACGCCCACCCGCCTTGGGGCTGCATCGGGACCCCAGCGGGGCGGCTACCTTGTTGAGCCGGTCGTCATCCGCCTCGATGCCCACGCTGTCCAGAATCTTCTTGATGTCCTTGGCGCTGGGGGAGGCATTGCCCCCGAGGGCGGCCAGCAGGTAGGAGGCGACGTAGCGCATCCTGAGGCGGCAGGAGAGCACAGGCGGCCTTACCCAGAGGCCTCCCGCCCCGGCCAAGCGTGCTCCGGCCCGGCGCCTCCCGCCAAGCCCCGGCAAGCGCCCGCCCGCCTCCCGCGGCCCCCCACAGCCCCCCACGGCACCGCAGGCCGGCCCGCACCCCGGTCCCGCCGCCCACTCACTCGGCGGCGGAGAAGCCTCACGCGTGCGACCTCGGCGGCGTCAGGGACAGAAAGGAAGGCGGCGGCGTGGGGGGCGGGGGTAATTCGCTACCCAGAAGTCCCCGGGACCCGCGCGCCGGGCCGTGCGGGCGCCTCCGAGTGACGTCATGCGGCGCCCAGGCAGCGGAGACGAGAGCCTTCGAGGCGTGGTGTCCTGCGGCCTCAGGCCTGCGGCGAACTCCAAGTCCCAGGAGGCACTGCTGCCGGAAGTGCGGGAGCGCCGCCTGCGCGGGTGCACGTGGCCGGCCCTCCTCGCTCGCTGCTCGGGGCGGGGGGGGGTTTTCCGGCCTCAGGGACCGTGGGCCGCGGTGAGGTGCAGAGCGGAGCGGCTTGGGCTTGGTGGCTGCTCCCCTGCGGGGCCGCGTGGGTTCCGAACTGACCTCCGCGCCCACGCAGACGTCAGCACGTGCCACGCCTTCATGCTCGGTGCCCGGGAGCCTGCCGCCCGTTGGCGCGCAGAGAAGGAGCCGGCCCGGCCCTGCTTCTCCGCAACATAAGTTTTAGAACGAGGACACACGGAAATAAATAAACGAGGCAATCCCGGGCCGACGCACACCCGAAGGGATGAGCCGGCCCTAAGATCTGGGGCGAGCACCAGGCAGAAGGGTCGGACGCAGAGGCCCCGCGGTGGCTGGAGATGGGTCCAGAAGCAGACTGGGCTGTCACTACCAAGTGTAGTTCATCAAGCACTAGTGTGTTCGTGCAAACCACACCGTTCCTGGGAGTGTCGTCGCTGTCATTACCCCATTTTATAGAAGAGGTGGGGCGCAGAGGTTTTCTTGTTCAAGGTCTCACACTTGGGGTAAAGTGGAAACCCTCCTGGCAAGGGTGGGATGTAATTACAATACACAGGGAAGTGGCATGTTGTGATGATTGTTTTAGAGTTAATATAATACATGAAATTTACCGTTCCCGTACAATTCAGTGGCATTGGGTGCCCTCTCATGACACAGCCACCACCAGCCTCTATCTCGATGGCTTTCCATCTTGCGAAGTTGGAATCCATGCGCGTTAAATAACTCCCTATTCCCTCCTCCAAACCCAGCACCGACCATTTTTTAATTTTTGTCTCAATGGAATTTGACTACTCTAGGGGCCTCACTGTGGAAGCATACAGTATTTATCCTTTAGGATCTGACTTATTTAGCATAATGTTCTCAAGTTTCGTTCACATTGTGGCATGTGTCAGAACTTCGTTCCCTTTTAAAGCTGAGTAATATTCGGGGCGCCTGGGTGGCTCAGTCCTTAAGCGTCTGCCTTCGGCTCAGGTCATGATCCCAGGGTTCTGGGATCGAGCCCCATATTGGGTTCGTTGCTTGGCGGGAAGCCTGCTTCTCCCTCTCCCACTCCCCCTGCTTGTGTTCCCTCTCTCACTGTGTCTCTCTCTGTCAAATAAATAAATAAAATCTTTTAAATAAAAGTCAAAATAAAGCTGAGTGATATTCTTGTGATTTTTTTTTAAGTCCTGGCAGCCACTTAGGAACAGGAGGTGGGACAGGAGTTGGGGAAAATGGAGCCTGGCCAAACTGCCCATCCTGGTGGGAGGGCTGGTGGTGGCAGGGGAGCTGGAGGAAGAGGGTGTACATGAATTGATTTGGGGCAGACCGGGTGAATGAGCACAGATGGGGTAGGCTCTCTTAAGAGTCAGACCTAGTTTGAGGTTCTTGGCTTTGGCACTTACCAGTAGTTATGTGACCTCGGGCAAACTGATCTGACAGAGCCTCCTTTTCCTTCCCTGTGAGATGCAGACAAAGATTGAAGGAGGCAACGTGTGGGGAAGCCCACTGCTGGGGCTCTTGGGCCAAAGTGATTGCCGGTAAAGCAAGATCACAGGAGCTGGGACCAGGTTTCCAGAGGAGGCCCAGGAAGGCTTCCGGGAGAAGGAGGCCCTTGAGGCTGGCCGGGGAATGGCACATTTCGTGCTCTGGCTTCTGGCAAGAGGTGGACGTGAGGCAGCAGTTACGATCAGCCCCCAAAGCCCTCCTCCGTCCCGAGATTGCACCAGCTCACTTTAAGGGGGCCAGAACGCACAGCTCCAGAGCAGGGCGGGCCCGAGGGCCAGGAATCTCTGAAAGGGCGGGTTTTGCAGCGCGCGACGCGGGCCTTCCCAGCGGGAGAGGCCGGACTGAGGCAGACTAACAGGAAGCCGAGTGGCCCTGGGCTGGCGGCTGGCGGCTGCCGGTTGGGGTCCGCGGCCGCATCGCCAGGGCTGCGGAGAGGGGAGGGACCCGGAGGCCTTCGCCTGCGGTCCGAGCCCCGAGCAAGGGGCGTCCTGACTGGGCGGGACCCGAGGCCCGGCCCGCTCGGGAACGCGCCGGCGGACGGCGCCCACCCTCGAGCGCAGGTACGCGCAGGGCGCGGGCGGGCGGTGGGGACGGCGAGGTTGGGGGGGGCGCTCTCCCGGCCAGGACCAGCCCCCCAGCCGTCGGAGCCCGGAATGTGCAGACCACTGCCCTCATCAGCAGACCTAGGTGCGAATAGGAAGCGGAGCGAACCCTCCTCCAGTGGTCAGGAAGTGGGGTCCCATCTCCAGGACCCCAGGCCGCCCAGTGGCTCACACTCCAGCTCTCCCTGCCCCCCCCCACCAGTCACTTATCTGACACATACGGGCACAATCACCCCTTTCCTTGCCTGGGCCACTGCCCCCACGTGGTAGATAAGAGTCCTCGACCTCTGGTCCAAGCTGGTGGGTGTGAAGGTTGGTGGTGGGGCTGGACCCGAAACTCTTACACCCAGAAGGGGCAGGGAGGGCGGTGGGCAGCCAGGATGACCTGACAGCTCTAGGAGTCTCGTGTTCAAATTTCCACAAGTGGGATGTGAAGCCTCATTTCTCCCTCCTCCCCCCGCCCCCCATCGAGTTCCCCAGGCTCCTCTGCCACAGGTCTTCCTGCTTGCTGCCTTTCCAGTCCCAGGGTTTTCATTCCCCAGCCCTCTTTCAACTATGATCTGTTCAGCTGAGGCTCTGGGCTCTGTGGATCAGCTGGCCTGGCTCAAGAACTGCCCCCAAGCCAGAATCCCCATTGCCCTGAGTAGGAGGGCCCATCCCCACTCCCTCCCACTCCTCCCCCTGACTCTGCAGCCTCCCCGGGCCCTGCCTGAGCAGGCCTGTTTGGCAGGCTGGGACATGTCTGGCCCCCGAGGACAGCCAGTGGGCGGTGGCTGCAGAGGTGGAGGGGCTGGAGCCCGAGGCAGCTGCCACAGAAGATGCTGCAGGAGATGCTACGGATGCTGTGGATGCTGTGGATGCGGAGCCCGGGGACCCCCCTCTCCTGGTTGGGAACCGGTTGAACCTGGACCTGTACCCTCGGGGCTGCCACCGGCTGCTGAATCTGTGTGCCCAGCGGCCCCCTCAGCTGCTGGAAGTGGAGTTCTTGCGGCTGAGTGGCCACGAGGACCCTCGGCTGCTGGAGGTCACCCTGGCCCAGGTGCCGTGCAGCCTGCAGCGCCTTCGCTCCCTGGTCATCAGAGGTGAGCCCCACCTGGTTCCAGCCCTGTCCCAACCCCGCCCCCCACAAGGTGAAGCTGGCTGAGCCCTGGCTCCTGGATGCTGCAGCTGCCCACTGGGGTCTCCCAGCAGACCCTCGTGTAGGTATTCTTCTTGGGGCAGGTCATGGGTGATGGCTATCAGCTGAGATGAGCCTGCAGTATCTGTCCCTGTCCCCCATGCCTCTGCTGGTGTCTCCATCTGTCCCTCTCTGGGTGGGGTTGGGGTAGCGGTCTGTGCCTCCGCATTGAGCTGGGCCCTGGGATTTTGGCTCTGAGGGCCACATCTGCTTTCCCCCTTTCTAGGTGGACAACACCGGGACGTGCTGGGTGCCTGCTGCCGGGGCTCTCTGACCACACTGCCGGCTGGCCTGAGTGGCCTGGCCCGCTTGGCCCACCTAGATCTGAGCTTCAACAGCCTGGAGACACTGCCGGCCTGCATCCCACAGATGCGTGGCCTGAGCACCCTCCTGCTGTCTTACAACAGCCTCTCAGAGCTGCCTGAGGCTCTCGGAGCCCTTCCCTCCCTCACCTTCCTCTCTGTGACCCACAACGGCTTGCAGACGCTGCCCACAGCGCTGGGATCCCTGTCCACCCTGCAGCGACTTGATCTCTCAGAGAACCTTCTGGACACCCTGCCCCCTGAGATTGGAGGCCTGAGCAGCCTCACCGAGCTGAATCTGGCTTCCAACCGGCTGCAGGGCCTCCCGACCTCCCTCGGTGAGTAGGAGTCGTGCCCCTCACGGCTCCCTGGGCCTGACGGGGAGTGCCCTTCAGCCGCTGCCTGGTTTCTGCTGTCTTGTCCTCCACGGGGGGCCCCTGCACACACAGGCTTGGCCCATCTTGGAGCCTTCACTCCTCCTGGGTGGCCCTTGTTTGCCTTTCCATCCCTGGCTTTCAAGGCTCCCTGCACAGATTTCTCAAGCTCCCCGAGTCTGGCCATCTGCTTGGCCCTAGCATGGGTATCCTGTCCTGGCCAGGGCTGGGTGTGGCCCTGAGTGGTCCTCTGCTGGCCCTAAGCTGGCACCTGTCCGCAGTGGGGCTACGGTCCTTGCGGTTCCTTGTTTTGCACAGCAACCTCCTGACCTCAGTGCCCGCCGGCCTAGCCCACCTCCCGCTGCTTGCCCGACTGGATCTGAGGGACAACCAGCTCCGGGACGTGCCCCCCGAGCTACTGGACGCCCCCTTTGTGCGCCTTCGGGGGAACCCCCTGGGCGAGGCTCTACCTGCCTCCCACAGTCCCCCAGGTAGGCTTGTTGCTAGGAAGAGTCAGGCCACAGACAGGCCAGGATGCAGGTTCCATAGGTGTTCTAACAGCTTGCCTGTCCCACCGCAGAGACACCTGTGACCCCCGAAATGCCCAGACTGTTCCTGAACTCAGATTTGGACAGGTGTGTGTGGGGAGGGAGATGGGGCTGAAGATGCATGTCACTACCCTGTGGCTCTGTCCATGATGAACACCGTGTTCATGCCCCAGGGGTGTTCTGGAGTTTCCCGGGGGTCCCCGATCCAGCCACACCCCTTCTATTGTCTGACCTGATGCCCACCCTCTCCTGCAGCTTCCCTGTGACTCCCCAAGGCTGCTCAGTGACCCTGGCCTGTGGGGTCCGCCTGCAGTTCCCTGCTGGGGCCACCTCTAGCCCTGTCAACATCCAGTATCGACTCTGGCTGCCGGAGCCACGCCTCGTCCCCTTGGGTCCCCATGACTCCCTGCTCAGTGGGGTCCTGGAGCTGCAGCCCCACGGGGTGGCCTTCCGGCAGGCACGGCCAGAGCGAGTCAGGGTGGGGGGCAGGGGAGGAGGGCCCAGGCATGGGCCCCAGTGCTCACAGCACCCTTGCCTGGCAGGAGGTGGGCCTGTGGCTACTCTTTGTGCCCCCCCGGGCCCGGCGTTGCCGTGAGGTGGTGGTCAGGACCCTGAGTGATGACAGCTGGAGTGACCTGGAGACTCACCTGGAAGAAGAGGCACCCAAGGTGAGAGCCCCCTAGGCCTTCCTGGGAAGGAGCACTAGGGAGGGGCTCCCCCCAGCCCCCGGTCAGCCCTGCCTGGTGGCTCTGACCTGACGCTGACTCCCCTCTGACCCCACCCCCCATGCCCAGCGGCTCTGGGCTCACTGCCAGGTGCCCCACTTCTCGTGGTTCCTCGTGGTTTCACGTCCTGTGTCCAACGCCTGCCTGGTGCCACCGCAGGGGACATTGCTGTACTCCTCGGGAGATCCTGGGGTCAAGGTCACATTCCCCCCTGGGGCCACTGACGAGCCTCGTCACGTCTGCATGCAGGTGCGGGCAGGGCAGCCGTGAGTGGTGGGTGGGGCCTCGGTGGAAAGGTGAGTGTTCCAGGCGCCTGTTTGCCCCAGGTGGTGCACATGGGCAGCAGAGAGCTTCGAGCCCTGCTGGAGGAGCCCGAGGCGGCGGCCAGCCCCCTGCTGTGCCTCTCTCAGAGCGGCCCCCCCAGCTTCCTCCGGCCTGTTACTGTGCAGCTGCCTCTGCCCCCTGGTGTCACAGGTGAGAGGTGGCCAGGTGGCCTAGCTGAATTCATGGCCACTGGGTGGAGGGGGCAGTGCTCTCAGCAGGGGAGCCCCTGCCAGGGACGCCTCAGCCTGCGGCCTGCTCATGTCCCCAGGCCTGAGTCTGGATCGCACTTGTCTTCACCTGCTGTACTGGACCCCTCCTGAAGCAGCCTGGGATGACATCACAGCTCAGGTGGCACTGGAGATCACCCACCTGTATGCTCGCTTCCAGGTCACACACTTCTCTTGGTCAGTGCCCCCAGCCCCAGCTTCCTCAGGCCCCTCCCCGCAGCGAGCCTGTCTGTGCAGCCCCCACTCACCCCCAGGCCCTCCCAGGTACTGGCTCTGGTACACCACCAAGACCTGCGTGGAGGGCCTGGCTCGGAAGGCCTGGGAGCGCCTGCGACTGCACAGGGTGAACCTCATTGCCCTGCAGAGGCGCCGGGACCCTGAGCAGGTTCTTCTCCAGTGCCTGCCTCGCAAAAAGGTGGGTGCGGACTCCAGAGGTCTGGAAGGGCCGCGTCGGGAGGGCAGAGGGCCTGCATGGGGGTGCAGGGCATTGAGCTTGGAGCCAGTGGGTGCCCCCCCCCCCCCGCCCAGGTGGATGCCACCCTGCGACGGCTGCTGGACCGGTACCGAGGCCCTGAGCCTTCTGACACGGTGGAGATGTTCGAGGGCGAAAAATTCTTTGCTGCCTTTGAGAGGGGTATTGACGTGGATGCTGGTATGCTCCCCCCCGCCCCTAGAGACAGGACGCTGGGGTCCACTCCCCAGGCTCCCTTCTGAGCCCATCCCGCCCCCAGACCGCCCAGACTGCGTGGAGGGCAGGATCTGCTTTGTGTTTTACTCACACTTGAAGAACATGAAGGAGGTGTATGTGACCACCGCCGTGGACCGGCAGGCTCAGGCTGTGAGGGGCCAGGTGGGTCAGCGGGGTAGGGTGCCCCAGGCTGCCCGGGCAGAGGCCAGAACACCGAGCCCTATCTCATCCCAACACTAGGTGTCCTTCTACCGGGGAGCAGTGCCCGCGGAGGTGCCTGAGGAGGCAGAGGCTGCCCGGCAGAGGAAGGGCACAGACTCCCTCTGGATGGCCACTCTGCCCATCAAGCTGCCGGTGTGGCTGGGGTGGGGGCAGCATGTGTGAAGGGGGCAGGGGCGGCACGGAAGCCCAGGGCTGGTCGGGGGGCAGAGGGCAGGGCTCACTGCACCCCTTCCTCCTCACAGAGACTGCGGGGATCCCAGGGGCCAGAGCAGGGACGGGGGACCAGCCTCTCCCTGGCTCCTCTGACCCTGGGTAATGCCGAGACTGGCTTCCTGACCCAGAGCAACCTGCAGAATGTGGCTGGGCGCCTGGGCCCTGACTGGCCAGCCGTGGCCCTGCACCTGGGCATGCCTTACCATGAGCTGCAGCGCATCCGACATGAGTTCCGGTGAGTTCCTTTGGGCATCCTGAGGCTGGCTCTAGACCAGCCTCAGGCCTGGGTTCTGGCTGCCAGGAGAGCTTTTCATGAGGCTGGGTGAAGTTCTGTCCAGGGTGAGTGGGAACAGGGCAAACAGGCAGGAAAGGGAGGGTCTGGCCACACCTCACCCAGGGAGCAGGGAATCCACCCGAGGAGGGTGAGCACAACCTTGGGTGTGATGGCTGGGCCTCTCGGTCACCATTCTCCTTCTCCCCCCACCCCCACCCAGGGACGACCTGGATGGCCAGATCCGTCATATGCTCTTCTCCTGGGCTGAGCGCCAGGCCGGGCAGCCAGGGGCTGTGGGGCTCCTAGTACAGGCCTTGGAGCAGAGCGACCGGCTGGATGTTGCTGAAGAGGTGAGGGCTGTCTTGGAGCTCGGCCGCCAAAAGTACAAGGACAGCATCCAGCGCACAAGCCTGGCCCCCAGGGACCTTGCCCCACCTGAGCCTTCGGCATCACAGTCCCCAGAGTCTGCCCAGGCCTAGACCCCACTGACTTTGGGCTGGTCCCTGATGTACCCTGACCAATGGTCAGAGGCCCCCATTTTCAAGCCTTCCCTATGTATGGGGACAGTGACCTCCCATGTGTAACAAATATGTATTGTTATTGTACTGGCTGCTTCTCAGAGCTCAGTTTATTTGTTGGGTGGAGGAGGGGGTGGAAGGCAAGGGTTGGCCTGAGATCAGAGGCCTGGGCGCTGCTGGGAGGGGACCTTGTGTAAAGACTTCACTATCCCCCCCGCCGCTGCCCCCCCCCCCCCCCCCCCCCCCCCGGGTTGCCCCCCCCCCCCCCCCGTCGACGACACCCCCCTTGCTCCTGCTTCCTCCCATGTGCCCAGGAGGGAGAGGAGCTCAAGCTACAAAGTAACTGTGCAGCACCAATGGATACAAAGTCACCTGTGTGCGGGATTGTGCATCCCCCAAGTTGGTGGGCAGGGCAGGTGCTTGGCCAGATCAGTCCCCTCCCAGAGCCCACTGTGCGGCCACGGACCGCTCCTGCCCTGGGACACCCTCTTCCCAGCATTCCCTGCCACCCCTCGGCCCGCCGGGGCTAATCCCTGGGTCCATGGCCCATGTAGGGCCGGGAGGCCCAGAGACCAAAGAAGGGCCATTTGGGGACCCGCGGCTGTGGCCACGCGGGCGCAGTGGCCGCGGCGGCCGGGAGGGGGAGCCGGAGCCCGCTTGCCGAGGGCCGGGGGCAGGGGGCGGAGCGCGCGCCGCGCCGAGCGGACGCGCCTCCGCGCCTAAGAGCAGCCGGGCGCGCGGCACGGCGGGGAGGCGAGCGCGGCGGCGGCGGCGGCGGCAGCAGCGCAGCGCGCGGTGAGTGCCTGCCGGGCCTCTCCCTTCCGCTGCGCCCACCCGACTGCGGCCCGACTGCGGGGCCCAGGGGCGCCGAGGCGGCCGGGGGAGGTGACGGCTACCCCGACGAGACGGCTCCGGGGGGTGGGGGTGGGGGGCCCGGGCCGGCTGATGCTCCGACCGGCTGCCGCCCGGGTGTGGGAGGCCGTGCTCGACCCCGGGCGGTGCCGGGCGCGCTCCCCGCGCACACGTGTCCCCACGGGGTGGGAAGCTGGGGCCAGAGCCCCAGAAGCGGAGGCCGGGCTGCGGGGGGGCGCACACGTGGGACCCCGCCGGACTTGTGTGGACACATGCGTGGCTGGAGTCGCCATCGCCTGGCGGGGGCGGCGTGACCGTCTGGGTCCCGTCTGGACCTCTTCCAGAGGGACAAGGGGCCTGAGCCGGCCTCCCAGCTGGAGCCCGCAGCCCCCACCCCAGGCCTCCTTTGTTCGCGGGTTGGGGCCCCTCCGACAGGATAGAAAGCGTCCCCCGCCCCATGGGGAAGGGACGCGGGGAGATTGAATGGGCAGCCAGCGGCCAGTGCCAGACTCTGATCTTCACCCCCATCGCCTTCCGTGGGGGGTGGGGGAGGGGGAGCTCAGCGGCTTCATTTGTGGGAGATTTTACCCCCCGGGAGGGTCTGGAAGTAGCAGCAGCATCCTGTGGCTGACGTCTGTGGGCAGCGCTGTCCACTGCCTGCGTTCCTCCTTAGTTTACCTGGCTGCAGACGTGGAGACAGGGGACGGTGAGGGCTGACAGCCCCAGGCCTCAGGCCTGGCCAGGGTTGCTGGGTTTCTGTGGCAACACAAGGTGCCCGGGGAGGTCCTTCCACAGATGTCTCCCAAACAGGGGTAAGAACCACAGAGTCAGGACCGACAAAGGGGGGTTCTGGGTCCTGTGGACCCCTTGCCAGTCTCCCAGGCAGAGCCCCTTTATTCTCATTGCTGTCAGGCCAAGGACCCTCTTCCCTGCTCCAACCTGCAGCCTGAAGCATGTACTGTGAGACCCTAGACTCACTGTCTCCCTCAGGCTTGGCATCCCTGAACCTGCCTCTCTTCCTGGCACAACTGCTCCCCTCCTCACCTTAGACACCCTGACTTCCGGGACCCCCATCACCCAGTGTCCCTTAACCCTGGGTGGGGTCTGGTGATGCTCAAGGAGGCTGAGTTTACTCAGTCCCCCAGAGGGCAGGAGTAGGCCACAGGGAGACTGCAGTGAGACTATAGACCCTGCCCCTGACAGCCTGGGGCAGCAGAGAGCTGGCTGTAGCCGGTCTACACCTGGAGGTGGGTGGGGTGGGGGTGGGGAGGGAAAACTCAGGTTGAAGTTCAGAGATCAGACTTTTATCTGCAGGCTAGGGCATGGGGAAGCAGGTGCTGGGGGCAGAGGCCCAGGGTGTGTGTGTCGGGGACCCCTTGGCCGGGCAGAGGGCTCTGGGAGTGCCCGTTCCTGTGCCCTTTGGACCTACCAGGTGAGCAGTCCTGTGGGTGGCAGCCAGAGGCCTCTTGAGACCTAGCCAACGCTTCCCTGCCCCCCCTTTTTAAAAGATTTTATTTATTTGAGAGAGAGAGAGAGAGAGAGCACGAGCAGGGGGAGGGGCAGAGGGAGAAGCAGACTCCCCGCTGAGCAAGGAGCCGGATGCACTCGATCCCAGGACCCTGGGATCATGACCTGAGTCATGACCTGAGTCGAAGGCAGATGCTTAACCACCTGAGCCCCCCAGGCGCCCCAGTCCTGGCCTAGGGTGAGGTTCCCATGAAGTGTGTCTTCATCCAATAGACACACAGGTCTCACGAATAGGAGTAGGCACAGACCCATCTCCACTCCCACGGGACCAGATTGTCCACACAGAGGCCCACAGGGGGCCTGGGCACAGAGAGCGCCCCATCCTCTGGGTCCCAGAACCCTAGACAGATTCAGCCTGCAGGCTGCAGACAGGAACCCACGGGGCAGCCAGGGTCGTGGTAGCCACGGGCTGGGGTTCCTGTGGATGGCTGGTCGGGCTCGGCTGGGTCAGCCTGAGTCAGGCCCACTGCCCTGTGCGCTGATCAAGTGTCGGAGACTGGGCCCTGCCTCTCAGAAGCTGTCACGCCCCCTCCTATCCCACAGCGCTAAGAGCCAACTTGCCCAAAGTGAAAGAGAAAGTCGCCCCCCCCCCCCAAGCTGGCCCCGCCCCACCCGGCGGCCAATCCCTGCAGTGGGCACCTCCCTCAGCCCCTGGATCTCCTCGGTGAGCCTTGCGGGTTGTAGTCCTGGAGGTGCACCTCAGGGTGAGCGGGACTGTGGGCTGCGGAGGTGGTGGGGCTGGAGGGGCAGGGGACACAGGGACAGATGGCCCGGGCAAGCTGAGGTGAAGGTCACCAGTCCTCAGAGGGACCAGGGGTGTGAGCCAGCCTTGTGACCCTGGGTGGCAGTGCTGTGGGTGAGAGCCCGCGACAGCTGGCCTCGAGGGGGCCCAGGCAAGAGGCGGGGGAAGGCTCCAGGGCTCTGGGGGGCCCCCGACAGGAGGCTCCGGAGGCTGGCTCTGCCCTGTCTCTAGTGAGAGGGGCCCCGTCTCCCCCAACCTCCAGAGTGGATAAGTGAACCATCCCAGGGAGCCTCAGTCAGCTGTCCCCTTCCCAGCTGCCCCCCACCCCGTGCCCCGAACTCCCCCGAAGCTTCCAGAGGACCCGGTGTGTGTGTGTGTGTCTGTGTCTGGGAGTGAGATTCCTGGAGAGGGTGGATGGGAGGGTGAGTGCAGGGCTGGGTGTGGGTGAGCATGGAGCTTCTCCAGGGGGAGGGGCTGTCTGGGGTCCATGGGGGGGCTGCACCTGGTGTGGCAGTATTTACCTGGGTGGCTGTGAGCTCAGCCCAGGTTGGGGGGTGCTCCTCAGCCCCTCCAACCTCCATCCTGAGGGGGGCAGGCGCCAGCTGTGGCTGCCCGAGGATGAGGGGGTCACCGCAGTCCAGGGTTGAGATGCCTGGCTGGCAAACTCACTGCCCCAGAGGCGCCTGGCCCTTTAAATGCAGAGTGCGCTCCTGGGCGCGTTCAGTGTGCACGTGAGTGTGTGTGAGCGTGAGCGAGGCCAGCTGGGAGGACGCACGGGGGCGGGGGCGCCTTGAGGGGAGACCAGGTGGCCCTAGGGATGGGTGAGGGGCTTGGTGCTCTTGCGTGAGACCTGGGGAGGGGGTTTTTGGGGGGAAGCTTATTTCTCTGCTGTGCCTCTGAGTGGTCTGTCCCTCCCTCCCCTGATTCCCGTACCCTCTTCTAGAACAGAAGCCCGTGGTTTGAAATTCCCCGGAAAGTGGAGGACTGCCCCTTCCCCCTCTGTCCCACCCACGCTGCGCTGCCTCTGTCCTCCACTGGCTGGGCTGGCATCCACCTCTCCGGCTCCCACCTGGGTGCGCTCAGTTAAATGGCTGATAAGCAGATCAGGTCAGAATGCAACCCTGCCTTTGCTCTTGGCCCCACCCCACCCCATGTGTGGTCCTGACCTGTGGCCGAGGAGGCCACTCCTGACACTCCCTCTGCTCCCACAGTCTGCCAGCCAAGCTCATCAATGGCGGCATCGCTGGGCTGATTGGGGTCACCTGCGTGTTCCCCATAGACCTGGCCAAGACGAGGCTGCAGAACCAGCAGAATGGCCAGCGCATGTACACCAGCATGTGAGCATGCCCGGTGGGGGCCGTGGGCATGGAGCCACGTGAGGGGGGGGCAGGTTAAGGCTCAGACTCAAGCCCTGCTCCTGCATCCCCCACCCTGACTGACAAGAGGGGAAACTGAGGTCAGGGCTGGTCTGGGGAAGCTCCCTTCTGGGTTAGGGCTGGAGCCATTGCTGGCCCCCGGCTCACCCTTCCCCACCCCTTGGCTGCAGGTCTGACTGCCTCATCAAGACCATCCGCTCAGAGGGCTACTTTGGCATGTACCGCGGTGAGGCTGGGGATGGGGCCGGTGTGGGTGGCACCCTCCTGCAGTCTCAGAGGGGTCCTGCTGTCACGGCTGGGAGGCAGGTGGCAAAGCCAGGCAGGGCGGTCTGCTGGGGCCTGGTGTGTATGTGTGGACGTGGCCTGTGGGACCCGGGTGTTGGGTGAATGGCACAGGGTGGGCTCTCCAGGGAGGGGCCGTTCTCAGTGGCCCTCCCAGGGCATCAGCCCCATCCCCCGGTTGTTGCCAGTGCCGGCATGGCAGGGCACTGTGTCTTTACCGTGCAGGTTGCAGCCTTCTCCCCTGCCTTCCAGCGCAGGTGGGACTCCATCTGTGCTGGGAGGCGGGAGGGCGTGGGGCCCTACCGCAAAGCTGCTTAGGGGACAATCCCCAAGCCTGGCTTTGCCCAGACACTGTGCAGCGGGACCCGCCCCCCCCCCACTCTCGCTCACCCTGGGCCTGTGTCCTCCACCCAGTGCCCCCCGCCCCCGCCTCAGTGGGAGCATCTTCTGTCCTCCAGGGGAGGTGTTCCTCAGGGAGGCCGGAATGGGTAGATCATGCAGGGAGGGTGAGCAGGGCGCCTGGAGGAGGCCCTGCCCTGTCCCTGCCTGGTCCTGCCCCACCTGGCACCAGTGTGGGTGAGAGGGCAGGAGGAGGAGCCAAGGAGTGGCTGGGGTGGGGCTCTGCCAGCTGGGAGGCCAGTGCTGGCTGAGAGCCTCCCCAGCCCAGGCCCCTGACCTGCCTGTGCTCCCCCCTGTGCCCCAAAGGAGCCGCTGTGAACCTGACCCTTGTCACCCCAGAGAAGGCCATCAAGCTGGCTGCTAACGACTTCTTCCGATATCAGCTCTCCAAGGACGGGTGAGGGGGTGAGGGGCTGTGGGCCAAGGCTGTGAGGGGGAGGGGTCTGTGCCCGACAAAGGACAGAAGCCCTGCCCCTCACCTCCTCCCTCTGCTCCTCCCTGCCTCCTGCACGGGGAGGGACGCAGATGCTGAGTCAGCTGTGCTTTGGCCCCAGTGGTCCTGGCCCCCAGCCAGTGTGCACCACCCCTTGTAGGGTGGGATCTGCGGGGGCACTGACTAGCTTCCCCTTGTCACCTGAGGGTGGGGCTGAGAAGCTTGGCCCTTTGGGTACTTGAGACCTCAGCGTCTCTACCGCTATTTGCTTGAGAATGGCCCTTCCACCTTCCCAGCCCTGCTCGTGGGGCCATATGGCTGTTGGGCTCGGTGCCCATTGCTGGAGGGCCTGAAGGGGTATCTGAGGCTGGCGGGTGCTGTACTCCTCCAGGGCCGCATCTGCCTCTGCCACTGCCCCCCCCCGCCCCCACGCGCCCAGGGCCATGGCAGCCCCTAGGGCCGCGGAGGCTTCTGCGTCACACCACGGCCTTTACCTCTTCTCTCCAGGCAGAAGCTGACTCTGCTTCAGGAGATGCAGGCCGGCTGCGGGGCCGGCACGTGCCAGGTGATTGTGACCACTCCCATGGAGATGCTGAAGATCCAGCTTCAGGACGCAGGCCGAATTGGTGAGGGCGTGGGGGGCACAGAGGGTGAGCCCTAGCCCCTGCTCAGGTGGGAGGCACTAGGAGAGAGAGCCAACAGGCCCATCCCTTCTCTCACCAGCTGCCCAGAAGAAGTTACTGGATGCTCAGGCCCAGCTGTCGGCCCAGGGGGGCCCCCCGCCCTCCATGGAGGCTCCGGCTGCCCCCCGGCCCACAGCTACCCAGCTGACCCGGGACCTGCTTCGGAGCCGGGGCATCGCCGGCCTCTACAAGGGACTGGGGGCCACACTGCTCAGGTGGGAGCGATGGTGAGGGAGGAGGGAGGCCTGCGCACCGCACACCTCTGGGTTACCAGCGTTCCTCCCTCCCCCCACAGGGACGTCCCCTTCTCCATTGTGTACTTCCCGCTCTTTGCCAACCTGAACCAGCTGGGCTGTCCCTCATCCGGGGAGAAGTCTCCTTTCTATGTGTCGTTTCTGGCTGGCTGTGTGGCTGGGAGTGCGGCCGCTGTGGCCGTCAACCCTTGTGATGGTCAGTGCCTGGGACTGAGTCGGCGGGGGTGGGTGTGTGTGCAGGTGTAGGTGGGCTGGGCCCCATGCTGACCTGCACACCCTCTGCAGTGGTGAAGACAAGACTTCAGTCGCTGCAGCGCGGTGTCAACGAGGACACCTACACGGGGTTCCTGGACTGTGCCAGGTGGGATGGCCCCACAGGGGTGGGGTGGGGGGGCGGGCCACCAGCAGCCCTGACCACCCTACACGGGGTTCCTGGACTGTGCCAGGTGGGAAGGCCCATGGGGGTGGGGGGGGCAGGCCAGCAGTGGCCCTGACCACCCTCCCCGCACAGGAAGATCCTGAAGCATGAGGGCCCCGCGGCCTTCCTGAAGGGTGCCTACTGCCGTGCCCTGGTCATCGCCCCGCTGTTCGGCATCGCTCAAGTGGTCTACTTCCTGGGCATCGCTGAGACCCTGCTGGAGCTGCTACAGCGACCCCAGCACTGAGCCCGGCGGCCACCTGCGCCCTCCAACCGAGTGGGACCAGAGTGGGGCCGGAGCCAGGTGGCCCGCCCAGGACTGAGCAAGAGTCTCTCCCCACCCTTCCCACACGGGTGGGAGGAAGCAGAGGAAGGGATGAAGGGTCCACATGGGTGGTGCACACAGGGGCCCCTTAGGGGTCCTGCCTGCACGACCACTGGGATCAATGTCTTATTTATGTAGAAAACGCAGAAATCTTTACATTCCTGGAGCCAGCCCCCCGCCACAGCTCCGCCCCGGCCTGAATACCCCCAGGGCAGAGCTGGTCTCTGGGCTGGGGCCCCCAGGCCTGGGCTGGGCAAGCGGGACCCTACCCTCCAGTCTACCAGCTCTTGTCCCCGAGGCTTGGCCCCTAGTCTACAAAGGGGACCCCGCACAAACCTATTTATTAACCTGCCGAGCACAAGTGCTCTGTCCATCCCTGTGTCCACCCTTTCAGCCTGTCCTGCCACTGCCCTTCTCGCCTCGGTCAGGACTCCACTTTGCCCCCCAGCCAGCCTGGCAGGAGGATTGGGGTCTCCTGCCCCCCGTGTTGAGCCAGGAGCCCCAGGCAGGGGGTCACACTGAGTTCTGACTCCCGGGGCAAGCCCCCCCCACACTCCACTGTGGGACCCAGCATCGCTCCTGGCAGGCCTCTCTGCCCCCACCCCAGGGTGGGGCCTGCAGCGTGTGAGGTCTGTGTGCTTGCACAAACGTTCTGGGGAGCAGATTGTGTCCACCAACCCTCCACTGGCCTGCCCCTCAGACGGGGCTGGGGGCGGTGGGGGTGGGGGGTTGCTGGCCTCACCCACATGGCCAGGTAATGTATGTGTGTCTGTGTACGCCCTAGGCTCCCCTCTGAGCCCATTCAGGAATTTATTTTCCCAGTGTGGTTCTTGCACCTCAACAGACCCCTCTTCTGAGACCCGCCCCCCCCCACCTCGGGTCCAGTATTGGCCAGTGGGGAGGGCAGGCATGAGGACCAGTATGGAGCCTGGGGGTACTTGCTCTATTTCCGGGGGCAGGACCTGCTCCCTCAGTCCTCCCAGGGCCCACCCTACTCTCTGGGCGTCTGCATTAAGCCCCTGACCACAGTCCATAAGCTCCGCCCTCCCAGGACCGCCCTCCTATATTGATGTGAATTGAGGCAGGCCTGCACCGCCCTGCCCTGCCCTGCCCTGCCCTGCCCTGCCCTGCCCTGCCCTGCCCCAGGCCACGTGATTGTGTTGGTGATTGATCCTGATGTGCTGGTGCTGTGTACCCCCACCTGGGCTCCCTCCTCCGAGGCCCCTCCCGGTGACACTACCTGGGGCTCAGGCCGGGGGGGGGTCCCCCAGGTCGCGGCTGTCCCCGGGAGCTGCCCTCTCCCACCACATCTGTACCTTGGAAGCTGCTGCTGCTTACAAAATTATATTTTTTCTTTTCAAGAGTTTTAAGAAGTTGTAACTTTTTGTGTCTTGTCTTGTGAGAAGATAAATAAATATTCTAAGTAGATACCTTCTCTCTGAAATCTGTTAGAGTTGGGGGAGGGGGAAGGGAGCCTCTCTTTTTGGAACCGGCCCGCCTCCCCCTGCAGACCTACCTCCGTCCACCCACCCGCCGGTCGGCACAGGAACTGGGAGGAGGGCGTGGGCTACGGGCCTCCCGACTCCGCGCTGGCTGGACTGGAGGTGCGGGAAGGGCAGCCCCCTTTCTTCCCTGACGGCAAGCCACCCTTGGGGTCCGCAGAGCGCCCCGCCAGCCAGCGGCGCCGGGGCGGCCGACAGGGGGCGGAGCCGGCGGTGATGTGGCCCCGCCTCCTCGGCTTGCGGCGCCGAGAACAGTGCATTGTGGGAAACTCCCAGTCCCCGCCACTGCCGCCGCCGCCGCCGCCGCCGCCCGCCCTGGTCCCGCGGACAGCGCGCAGCGCCGAGGTGGGAGCGCCGGGAGGAGCAGCGTAAGACGGCGGGGGCTCCGGGGCCTGGGGCCCGGGGGGTGACGGGGCGGCCCCGCGGGGCGAGTGGGCGGCTCTCGCCTTGAAGGTCACTGGGGGCGCAGGCCGGGCCCCTGGCTCTCTCCAGCCCTGCGGCTCCTGGGAGGGGGAGGGGGCACTGGCTGACGTCAGTATGAACCAAAAATAACGGGGTATTGGGGGGGAGGAGACCACCTGCCCTTTGCAAACTTGACGCCCAGCGGCTGGGTGCCCATCCAGAACACCAACCAGGGGTCGAGGGGCTGCTGGGACTCCCCGGGAAGTGGGGCAGCAGCTGGGCTGCTCACTGGGACACCCCCATTATTCTGTGACCTACAGGTGACCTTCAGGTGTGGCTCGTGTGCCTGGCCTAGGTGGAAAACCTGGGCCGCTGCTTCCCACATGGAATCCCTCCCACTGAGGGGGGTGTTTCTAATCCTCTTGGAGAAGAGGCAGGCGGGGTATCTAGGTCTTCGGGGAGAGATGGCTCAGGCCCAGCCCAGTAACCCCAGTACCCAACAACTCAAACATTGAGGATCTGGGCCAAGCTTTTCCTCTAGTCTGGAGCCCCCATCTTCTGCCCTGGTCCAGGTTTGAGGATGCTGAGGTTGAGGACATGGTGTGTGTCCACCCCAGGCTCACACCAGGGACCCCCCCCCACACACACACACACACATACACACACTGCCCTTGCCCCAGAGGCAGGCACAGCTCCAGACTCAGGAAGGACTCCCTGCCCTTGAACTGGAGCAGGAGAAGCTGGTCTTGGGGGTGGGTACCAGGAGCTGGGGAGGGGCAGATGGCTTGCCAGGAGGCACAGGGCCTGTCACTGCCTGCCCGACTGGCTTCTCCAGCCCCACGAGGAAACGCCTCAGGTGTGCTGTACCCCAGTTCTGGCAGCATTGGGCCCATTCCCACCCCACTGACACCAGAGAGCCCAGACTCTGGGTTCCTGCCCTGCCCCCCTCTCCCACTTGGACCCAGTCCTCCCAAGAAGGTACATAGTTGGTTCTGCCCAGGCACACCATAGCTGGCACACCCTCCATTGACCATATATCCTCCTCGGGACTGGGTGGGCTCTCACTTCCCCGTCAGGGCCTCCCTACCCTGGCCCGATGGAGATAGCACATGTATGGGCAGGACCATTGTGCAGATGGCTTGTCTCATCCTGCACCCCCAGTTTGTTCAGGACCAACATGCTCTGCCTGTGTGGTTGGAGGGGCTTCTCAGGGAGAGGTGGGGGGCAGCTGGAGAGCAAGCCCTGGAAGAAAACATCCTGAGTGGGGTCTCGGGGGGGGTGGTCCAGAGAACGAGGCAGGATCTCTATGGGGACACGATGGTAGGGGCTGGACAGGAGGGCTGAGTCTCTTGCCACAGCCTCACTGTGTCTCTCTCCAGGCCTAGATAATGCTCAGGGGTGAGCTGTCCTGAGCTGCTGAGTTCCAACTGCCTGTCTGTCCACGCACACCCCAGGTAGCCTGCCAGCACCACCCACCATGGAGTCCAGGGGGAAGGTGACCAGCAGCCCCAAGCCCGACTCGAAGGCTCCGCAGGCGGCTGCTGAGGCCAGAGCCCCGCCAGCTGCGGATGGGAAAGCCCCCTCAGCTAAGCCTGGGAAGAAGGAGGCCCAAGCAGAGAAGCAAGAGTCCTCAGCGGCCCCCACCCCAACTGCCAAGAAGACCGCGGTCAAAGCAGACCCTACCCTTCTCAATAACCACAGCAACCTGAAGCCGGCCCCCGTAGCCCCCAGCAGCCCCGAGGCCACCCCTGAGCCCAAGGGCCCTGGGGATGGGGCTGAGGAGGATGAAGCCCCCAGCGGGGGTCCAGGGGGCCAAGGCCCTTGCCCCTTTGAGAACTTGACCCCCCTGCTGGTGGCTGGGGGTGTGGCCATGGCAGCCGTAGCCCTAATTCTTGGTGTGGCCTTCCTGGCCCGGAAAAAATGATGGCTTGTGCCCAGGTGGGGACACAGCCACTTCCTGTACAGATCTCAGGAGCCTAGTGCATGCCGAGCTCACATACAGCCGTCTATACATCCGTACGTGCATACCACATAGACACGTATACCCCCGTGTGAGTACCACATAGACACGTATACCCCCGTACACGCAGAAGGACGGACGCGGACAGGCCCCCCAGCCATGGAAACCAAGCCCGCTCGCTGGCCCCCCAGCACTTACCCCTCCCAGGCTCCAGCATGGGGCAGTGGGAGGAGTGGACCTTGAGTGTGGCCCACCCGCCTACAAGCAGGTGGACGTGTGCCACCTGGTCCCGAGAGGCCCCAGTGGTCCCAAGCACTTCCTGGCAGCAGAGTCTGAATGAGTCCCCAGGGCTGGGTAGGGGTCCGGGATGGGCCCCCACAAGGGCCCAGCCCTTGTGGGGACATTAAAGGGTATGGCTGTTTCACTCTCCCCATTTCTGCTCTTTGTTTGTAGCTGGGCAGGGTTGGGGGGCCCATCTGGGTAGGGCTGGGCGGTGGGCTGACCCGAACCAAGCCCTCACGGTGGCACCTCAGCTTCCGTGCCACCTTCGCCCACCACCTGCACCCTGGCTGGGTGGACAGACGGCCCAAAGGCCGGTCTGGGGCGGGGCTCCCACCATTCACCCTCTAACTTTGCCCCAGGGGAGCCTCTGAGGCTGGGGCCACCTCACTTCCTGCCCTGACTCCTCCTCGTCTTGCAGCAACTGTCCTTGGGGCATGTGAGAGCCTGGCAGGGAGGCCCGGGATGGGGGCAACCTCGAGGATCTGCCCGGTGGCTGTGCTTGCCCCGCCCCCGGAGACAGCCCCTCCCACCTCACCCAGCGTCCTTTGATTCTAACAAGCGTATAAATGCAATAACAGAGTAGAGCTGCTTGGTGGGTAACCATCACCTACGTCCACTGCCCTGTTGTACTTGCAGGGAGCCTGTGTGTGCAGCCCCCCATCGGCACATCGGATCCCAGCTTGGCCCATGGCACGGTGGCAGTGGGCAGGTTCTGGAGGGTGGCTGTGGGCACTGTGGGCACTGACACGACCTTGCCTGGAACCCTGGGCCTGAGCTGAGGTTGAGTCTGAAATAAACTCTGTTGTCTAATGGCTGGGCTGGTGTCCTCACCCACCTGGAGTGGGAAAGGCAAGGGCTTCCCACCGGGTTGTGGGGGATGGTCATGTAGCCACACCACCGGGCTTTCCAGGGAGGAATAGGGAGCTTCAGATGCCACTGGTCCCCCACCTCCTGCCACCCCCATGCCTTTGATCCTGGGCCCTGCCCCATCCCAGACAGCCGCACTCAGGCCTTGCTGCCGGCCCTGGCCCTTGATGGACTCCCACCCCTAGGCCTGGGCTGCCAGCCACCGTGCTCAGGGCAGGGCTGGGACTGGAGCGGCAAGGGCGTGGGAGGGGGATGGGGGACCTCTCTCTGACGTCTGAGACCAGGGGGCGTCTTTCTCCACCACTGTCTGCAGTGAGCTCCCCATCTGTGCGGGGCACAGAGGAGACTGGGATGATGGGCTTTCCTCCTCTCGCCACCCTGCTGCCCACAGCTCCCTGAGCCCACTCTGGCCAGATGACCCAACTGGCCGGGCCTGCCTGCGCCCCCAGCTGTGGGCAAGGCTGTAGGGGCAGGGTCTGGGAGAGCAAGGCCCTGCTGGACCCAGAAGCACTCCTGGGGGCTTTGTCACCCTGGGCCCCTCCTGCCCCCAGCCTCTTGGAGCTGACACGTTGGGGGGCACGCCCCTCGCTTCTTTTCCTGGTACGCACCCTCCCGGAGTGGCACGCCCGGTCCCTGTACCCACATATCAGGCCCAGGCAGGTCCGGAGAACTTCCTTGGAGTGAAAACATCCAAAACAGACCTGACATCCGTGCCCAGGCACGCCCGTCCTCCAAGTCCTGGAACTGCCTCCTGACTCCCCTGCCCCCAAACACACACCCGGCGCCTCAGAGTCCTTGAGCCACCGGGCCAGAGCCGGCCACACAGGGCGGGGGGCTGTGGAGCAGGGCAGACGCGGCCCAGAGGTCCAGCCTCCAGCCCCCTGCCCCCCAGGGGCCAGGGCTGCTGCCCTTTGGCTGTGCGGTCCCTCTCCCCTCTCTCCATTCTGTGGCTTGCACCGTGAGGACGAGCTCTGTCGTCTTCAACCAGAAGTCCAGAGCTTGGCCCCTGCACGTGGGTATTCCACCCGAAGTTGCCCCTCGTGTTCATCAATTCATAGGATGCTGATCTTGTTTCCAAATAGAGCAGTGATGAAAATCCTTGTAACGCGCCTGGTGCCTGGTGTCTCTGGGGTGGGATGTGTGTGTACGGCATGCATATCTTTCTTTTGTTTTATTGTGGTAAAATACACATAACATAACATTTACCACCTTAGCTATATCGAATGCACAGTTCAGGGCCGCTAAGCACATTCATGTTGTGCAGCCGCCCTTACCAACGGTCTCCAGGACTTTCCAACTTCCCAAATGGAAACTGTCCCCGTGAGTCACCGACCCCCATCCCTCCCCCGGCCCCAGAGCCCACCGTCCACTCTGTTCCCTGTGAATCTGGAGACTAAGGACCTCATGTGGGGGGAATCCTACAGTATTTGTCCCTCTGTGTCTGGCCGATCTCACTCAGCATCACGTCCCCCAGGTCCACCCACACCGTGGCAGGCGTCCGCGTGTCCCTCCGTGTTCAGGCTGAGTGACGGTCCGGTGTGTGGACGGACCACGTTTATCTGCTCGCCCGTCGACGGACACTTGGGCTGCTTCCACTTTTCCACTGCTGTGAGTTAACACTGCTGTGAACAGGGATGCGCTCATGTCTCTTCAAGACCCTGCCGTCCCTTCTCTTGGGTACACTCCGGCAGCTGGATTGCTAGGCTGCGCGGTGGGTGCATCTTAAACCCAGCTGCTCCGGCTGGAGCCTGGGGGTTGGCCGCGAGGGCCCTGCTCCCCTCACCATGGTGACACAGGGCAGGGTGAAACACTAGATTTTGCTAGTCCAACTGAGGCAAACTGGCCTCTTCTGGTTGTTTCTCTTTGCACGGATCTAATGTACTTCTTTTCACAAAGTTCTTGGCCATTTGGGTCTTGCCTTCTGTGATTTTTCCTGTTGGTGCTATTTGTCCGTTTTTCTGTTGGACGGAATGCCTTCTTCTCATTTATTTGGAGGACTTCTCTACATGTTTTGCCTACCGAGCCTTTGCCGAACTGCAAACATCTTTGCTCAGTGGCTGGCTTCCCTTTTTCTCTGTCTTCTGAGCACAGAAGTTCTAAAGTCCGAGTTTATCACACGTAACTCCTGTTCCCCTTACCATATATGCTTTGGGATCTCGGTTAGGAGGAAGGATACTCCTCCTTACTCCAGGCTAATATTCTCGGCATTTGCTCATGTTTAGTAAATGTCATGTTTCAATCTATCTGTGGACCTTAGGTTTTGTGCGTGGAGTGAGCTGGAGATCCAATGTGACTTCTTTTCCATCAGAAGATCCGATGGAGCACAGGAGGATGGTTCCTGCCAGCCTGAGGCTGCTGCCTTGCCTCTCACTTCTCAGCCCAGCCAGGCCTGTTCTGAGCCTGGGTCGGCTAACACCACTACCTGTCCATGTAGCTTTGTGGTAGCCCTTGGTGGTGATCTCCTGTTTCTTTATTTCTAATTTCACACAGACACTCAGTTCCTGGAATCCCCTCCCTGGGACTGTAAGACTAGGTTAGCTGAGGTCCCTGGGCCCCCTGTGGGGTTCTGATGCTCAGCTTCTGTCTCATTGTGTCCCTAAACTTGAGTAATGTAGGGACCTTTCCAAAATGAAGCAAACTCTTAGGGATGTCCAGGGCTGTTTTTTTGTTTTGTTTTGTTTTGTTTTGTGACAGAGAGTCAAAGATAGTGACAGGGAGCATGAGGGAGATGAGCGAGCACGAGCAGGGAGGAGCAGGGGGAGTGGCAGAGGGAGAAGCAGGCTTCCCGCCGAGCAGGGAGCCCAACACGGGGCTCGATCCCAGGACCTGGGATCATGACCCGAGCCGAAGGCAGACGCTTCACGGACTGAACCACCCAGACGTCCCCCGGGGCTGGTTTAAATTATTGTTATTACAGAACTACCCTTAAGGTCTTAAAAAATACCAGCTATAAAAAGTATTCAGTGTATAAGTGTACATAAAACAGGGGTGCCTGGTTGGCTCAGCTGGTAGAGCACATGACTTGATCTTGGGGTTGTAAGTTCAAGCCCCGTGTTGGGTGTAGAGATTACTTAAAAAATCTTTTAAAAAAAAAAGTACATACTATAAATCTAAATCCAACTTTCCAGGCCACCAGGAAAACAGGAAAACGCAGGTGGGAGCATCATCTCTTGGGACAGTTGTGTCCACTGGCGGGGCACTGTCAGAGGGAGACCCTGCCGCCCCAGGGCACCACAGGGACTCCCCAGAGACCTGGGCTCTCAGCCTTTGTGCCAGCACCTGAGGTCTTCCTATCGCCAGCCCACACCACATTGTGCCACAGGTGGGCTTCATAGGGCCCGGGTGGCCAGGTTATAAGGATGCAGAAGATGTGTGCGTGGGGGGGGCCCACTTTGTTTTTCTCTCTAGCACCCCTTCCCTCCCTCAAGAATGGGCAACTCTTCTTTGGGGACTCCCATCCTGGAATGCATTCCTGGTGTGACCAGGGAGTGGAGCTGGCCACTGTCTCCAGACCCTGTCCTTCTCCCCAGAGATGGGCATGGGGCTAAGTGGGGTCCTCTGGAACCTTTCTTCCTCCACTGGGGCAGAGTGATCAATACCCCACAGAAGGCATGGGTGACAGGCAACTCTGCTCCCGAGCCTTAACCCAGCTGCTGCGGGTCAGTCCTCTCTGACTGCTGGTCTTCAGCCCCCCACAGCCCCGGCCCTGTGGCTCCCTGATCTCACACCTGGTCCCTGGGCCAGACAGGCAGAGGCTCCCTGTGTCCTGGTGGCTGTCCTGGCATGCCCGGACCTCTCTGTCCAGTGTCTCCGGTGCAGGGAGGGCTGCTGAGGGCTGTCAGAGGGTTGGTGAACAGAATGTCCACCACCTGCCAGCCTCAGCACAGGGGACAACTGTCCTGGCAGGAGAGCAGCTCACCCCCTGTGCTGTTGCAGAGGGTGTCGTGCTGGCATCACTGGGACCCATCCCTGCCATAGGGAAGAAAGGCTGTCGCCCCCCACCCAGCACAGTGGTACCCGGAGGTGTGTTTGAGGGGAACCCCCTTCAGACACTCCTCTGGATCCTCCCATCTGCCCATGCGTCCCTGTCCTAATATCCTGGGCAGGGTGCAGCCCACCCCCAGCCGCATCACCCCACTCCAGGGCACCAAACTGCCTGCCCACTTGGCTGACATCTTCAGTTCACACCCTGCCAGCCTGGGAGGGACATGGAAGCAGCAGCTCCCACCCTCTCAACCACTGCCAGTGTCCCACGTGATGAAGGCGAAGGGACCCTGTGCTCCCAGCCCACTGCCCTGGCCTCAGCAGCCCATGCCCTTAGGGGTGGCCACTCTCTGCTGTCCGGTTCAGGGTCTGCATGACTCACAAGTGCTTGGGGTCTAAGTCTCCAGATCCCACCCAGCCCGGCCTCAGCCAAAGAAGAGCCTGAACCCTGAGCCCTGCTGGGAGGAGGGATGCATCTGGGGCCCAGGACATGGGTCACCTGGCCAGCGGCCCTGAGAGAGAGCCCAGTCCCAAGTCTCCTGTCTGAGGTCCACGCAGTGATCAGGCTGCCCTAATGGGGGGGGGGGACACTCAGGGCAGCTCTGTGAGTTTAGCGGGTTCTCAGAAAGGGAGTGCCTTTCTGAGGGCAAATTGTGCCTCTGGTGCCTCTGGTGCCCATGGGCTTTGAAGGACAGTTAGGAGTTTGCCAGACAAAGAAGAGCTCCAGCATTTCAGAGGGAAGAGTAGCAGGTGGAGGAATAGCAAGCCAGGGAACAGCTCAGGCATACTCTGGAAAGGAAGGAAGCAAGGGAGCCTGGGGGTCCTGAGGCTTTGGTGGGCCCGCCTGTTGGAAAGGCCCCCAGGAACACCTCCCCCATCCATCCTTGCTCCAATTGGAGCAATTTCCAGAGACAGGAATGAAACAGTGAAACCTTCTGATTGGTGCATGACAACATGTCATGGGGCCCCCTGCACCTTGTGTTTCAGGGTCCCTGAACAAAGGCAAAACCCCAGGTTCAAGGCCATCACTCCATGGCAGCAGAGCCCCTGTGCCCGGTCCCCAAGCCCCCTCCCGCAACCTTCCCTCCCCCACCCAGGCAGTCACTATTGGATGATGCGCACCTGAACAGCTTGTAGATGATGCCCTAGAACTCCACGCCCATGAGCCCCACATCTCAGGACCTCAGCTGTGACTCTGGCAAGGGCCTGGGGAGGGCCTGGGGATGGAGGGGGGGTTACTCCCACCACAGGGCTCGAAGTGGGAGACCCTTCTCCCCCAGGCCTGGATCCTTCCCAGGAGACAGTCATCAGACATGGGCCACTGGCTGCAGACCCCTCTGTCCCCTGAGACTCTCCTGTGCTCTGCCCTGGGAGGAAGAGCTAACTGCCAGTTGATCCCCCTGCAGCAGCCCCAATCATGCCCAAGGCAGGGCCTGAGTAGCATCCCCCTTCTCACCTGTTGGGTGTGAGGGAGAGTATAAGGGGCAAGGGGCTGACCCACAGGAATGGGAACCCACTCAGGAAGGGTGTAGACGAGCCAGCATGACTGTGTGGGTGTAGAGGGCAACAGACCACAACCTCACCTGGGGGGTACCCCCATAAGGGCTAACCCCAGTCACCATGACAGGGCCTCCAGCATCATCTTGTCCAAGTCCTCACTGTCCACAGGGGCACACACAGAGAGGCAGGCCACTGCCAGACCCAGACTAAGGCCCCATATCACCACACCTGCCCCCGTGCGGGCTGCCCACCCCAACTCCAAATGCCACGAGGGATCCTTACAGGCTTGCCTGTGCTGGGAGCCACTGACATGCCCACACACACTGGCCTGGACACGTGCAGGATTATGTGCACACAGGGGACCTGGGCTAGAGGGTCTGCTTCTGCTCAGGCAGGTGGGTTTATCTGGCAGGCGTCCTGCAAGGACCCAAGTGTACAGTGGGGTGCACACCACCTGTGGGCACAGGGGCACACTTGTGCACACACGCTCCCACATGCACGTGCATACACGCATCAGCCTCGATGCACAATGCCACAGCCAGGCTACCTCGTCTATCCTCTTAGTACGAGAAGACCAGCGTGGCTTAATGACATCTGTGATGCAGGAGGAGGTAAGTGTTAGGGCTGCCCTGGGGTGGTGTAGGGGGCACTGGGCCAGCAGGAGGATCTCATGGCCCTCGCTGTGGTCTGGCATCTCCAGCCCCTGGTCCCACAAATATGTATGTGGGGGGCCCGCCCTACACCCAGAAAGCTCTTCCTGTGGTTAGGCCTAGCCTATGGTCTGACCTTGGGCCTGTGGGCCTCCGTCCAAAGTCCCCCACCCATCCACACAGCTCCTGTCCCCTGTCCTGAGGCCCTGCCTGTGCCAGGAGCCACTAGCTCCTGCTTCACTCATGACGGGAGGGCCCTGCCGAGGTTGAGGGTCGCATGCAGGTAGCCAGAGGCTGTGGGAGCGTGAGGCCTCGTTGGCAGAGGACAGAGACGGTGGTTGTGGAGGCAGCCATGCCCAGGAGAGGCACCTTGGCCTCGCCCCGACCACTTTGGCGTTTCTTTTTTTTTTTTTTTATTTATTTGACAGAGAGAGAGATAGCGAGAGCAGGAACACAAGCAGGGGGAGTGGGAGAAGGAGAAGCAGGCTCCCCGCTGAGCAGGGAGCCCGATGCGGGGCTCGATCCCAGGACCCTGGGATCATGACCTGAACCGAAGGCAGCCGCTTAACCGACTGAGCCACCCAGGTGCCCCTTTTTTTTTTTTTTAAAGATTTTATTTATTTATTCATGAGAGACAGAGGGAGAGAGAGAGAGAAGCAGAGGGAGAAGCAGGCTCCCAAGGAGCAGGGAGCCCGATGTGGGACTCGATCCCAGGACCCTGGGATCATGACCTGAGCCGAAGGCAGACGCTTAACCATCCGAGCCACCCAGGGGCCCTTTTTTTTTTTTTTTTAAAGATTTTATTTATTTATTTGGCAGAGAGATACAGAGAGAGAACAAGTAGGCAGAGAGGCAGGCAGACGGAGAGGGAGAAGCAAGCTCCCCGCCGAGCAGGGAGCCCGATGCGGGGCTCGATCCCAGGACCCTGGGACCACGACCCGAGCCGAAGGCAGCCGCTCAACCGACTGAGCCACCCAGGCGCCCCACTTTGGCGTTTCTTATCCATGACACAGGTTTCCCTAGTCAGACCAGAGGCTGGCAGGACCTTGAGGGAACCCTGCTGCTTGCCCTTCCTCCCTGGAAGCAGGGGGTCCTGGAAGGTGGCCTGTGGGGGCCAAGGGCAGGGGCTATCCCTCTTCACCACCAGCTTGTGCCCAAGGCCCTCTCCCAGCCTCCCTTCTCTCTTGCCCAGGCCTTAGAGGGCACCTGACAGTCTGTGGCCCACATGTCTACCCACCTGACTGCCTCCCACACAATCAATGGAAACTGCTCCAAATGCAGCTCCGCCCAACAGCACCCAGAATCACCTCAGGAAGTGACACCCATATTCTTCCAGGGACTCAGCTGAGCCCCCGTGACCCTGGATGCCTCTGTCTCCCTGCAATCATCCTGGTGAGGCAGAACCCATCCCTCCCGCCCCCGCATGGTGCAGACACCTGCAGACCCCTCCCTGGTCTCTGGACTCCCACCCCTGCAGGCACAAGGACCCACCGCTGCAGGCCCGCCCTTTCTGCCCCAGGGGAGTGTCCTCCTTAAAGTCTTTTCCTCCTTAGATGTGTTCCCCCATTTCCCCTCTGAGCTCTCGCCCCTCCCACTTCCTCTCCCTGTTCGCTGGCCCATTCTTCTCACTCACTAACAAACTGCTGGCACCTTCTATGCATCCATGTTCGGAGCCCCCACCCCCAGGACATGAGTCCCACTGGGCAGGGGGGACTCAGTGATCAAGGGTTAAATGTCCAAATCCACGAGGCAGGGACCATCATCCACGGGAAGGGACCCTTGCCCGCTGGGAGGAGGCCCTTAACTACAGGGAGGGACCTCCATCCACAGGGAGGGACCCACGTCCACGGGTCGGGGACCCTCGTCCACGGGCAGGAGTCCTCTCTCCTGGTTCACGCTCCTGTCCCAAGGGACGAGGAAAAGGGGAAGGCACCGTGTTCCCGACTGCGACCAGGGGCCGGGCCAGGGGTCTGCTCAGGGATGCTGAGGCGTCAGGCTGAGGAAGCCGGCCCGCGCTCTCTCCCGCGGCCCTGGGGCCAAGCTCCGAGCCCCGCCTGCACGACCCCCAGCGCCCCGGCACCGCCCCCCGGCACCGCCCACCGAGCTGGCCGGGCCGGGGGCAGGGCAGGAGAAGAGACCGCGCATACGGGCGGGGGCGCTCGCGGCCCCGCCTCCAGACGTCGCAGCACGTGACCAGCGTTTCCTGGCCCCGCCCCCCCCGCGCGCACTCGCACCATACTTCGCGCACGCGCAGGACGCCCCGGTCTGGTAGAGCCCATGGCGTCCGAGCGACTCTCGAGCCGGCCCGCCTGCCTGCTCGTGGCCAGCGGCGCCGCAGAGGGTGAGGCTCGCGAGGACCGGCTGGCGTCCAGCGGCGCCGGCGGGCAGGCCCGCCGACCCCGAGCGGTTCGCTCTTGCGCCGCTTCGGGGAAGCAGGTGGAAGCCCCTCCTTGGAAAGGGAGCGCTGCCGGTGTCCCTGGCCTGGCCCGGGTCCCCAGGCCACACCGGAGCGCGGGGGCCCTGGCCTACTGCAGGGGGGACCCGGAGCCCGGCGTTTCTGTGGGAGGAGAGCGGGTCCCGGGATGGCGCCCGCGCAGGTGCCGCCTCGGGGGCATGAGGTGCTGGAGTTTGGGGGCCTCCGTGCGTCACGTGCCGGGGCTTGCTGTTCAGGGCGGGCAGGCTACGGTGTGGTGAGGGGCGGTGGGCTGTCCGAGGAGCTGCGGGGGACGGCCTGGGTTCCGGCACGCCTGGGGGTTAGGCGGCCAGCGGGTGGGACCATGGGCCTTTCCGAGCAGGTGGGCCAGCCGGTGGGTGGGCCGTGAGCCGGTGGCCAGGGGGCTGAGGGGTTGGAGAAGGGACTGTTCTGGGGCGGAGATGTGCAGAGGCAGAGAACCCCTCAGTCTCCCGTGTGAGGTGTACCAGGAGAGCTTGGCGTGGGGCTGCGGCAGGGCAGCACGGCTGGTGGTGGGGTCTGCCGTTACTGGCGCAGATTCTCGCTCAGGGCCAGCGGGGAAGGGATGAACGACGAGCTGGAAGGCACCTGACTGCCCTGAGCACTTTCCAGGTCCTCTCCTGTGCTTTCTTTTGTCAGAGGGAAGTGATGAGCCCAAGGTCACATGGTGGAGAACCCAGGGCTGGGACCTGGGGTCTGGTTCTGGAGCCTGGTCTCCTTGAATTCTAGCCTCCCAAGTGGACACGGGAGGGAGGATTGCAGGTGGAGGAGTCACTGTGTGCTGAGCCCCAGGGGCCCTAAGCGCTGTGCCCAGTGTGGGTGGAAGGAGCCATCAGGAGTGGGGCTCAGTCCTGGAGAGGCGGGCTGGGGTTACCAGAGGTGGCTGGTTGGAGTGGGGTGAGGATGAAGAAGGGTTGACTGGCGTGGCTGTGCCCTGGGGAGGGGACACAGCTCTGAAAAGGCCACTAGGGCACTGTAGGCAAGAGGGGGCCCTCCGGAGAGCTTTGGGGAGGGGTGAAGCCGTGTTGAAGGAACTGAGGGCAGAATCAGGCAAAGTCTGGGGGATGATTTGTGGGTGTGCTGTCTTTGCTCAATGCATGCAGTCTGTGCAGTACCCATTAACACGTGAGGGTGAGTAAAGATGAAGATGAGGTTTAGGAATTGGGTCCAGGATTAACATAAAGGTGGAGGGATGCACACCGAGCCTGTTTAGAAGCAGATATCCTTGGTGGGGCCACAGCCCCCAACAACTAGGAATCTTTTGGACTGGAAATGGCCAGAAGAGGGCTGTGAGCAGCACTGGGGATGGGGGCAGGGCCCAGGAGCCTTGTGAGCAGAGCCAAGTGTCCTAAAGCGAGGATGAGGGTGGGGCCGGCTGGTGGGGTTGGGGGGGCAGGTCGGGATGCACCCATGTTCTTGCTGACACTTTCCACAGCCCCACATGTGAGGACACAGACCTTGCTCACTGTGGCCCCTCCCTGGCTGACTGCTGGGGGTGGGGGTGGGCTTGGTTACTGGTGGTTCAGTGAGTGGGTGGGGGCACCTTGCACTTGGGTTTGCCTTCTGGAGAGAGGCTTGTAGTGGCCAGCCTGGGAGAGAGCCCGTCCTGCAGGGGCTGGGGCCCGTGGGCTGGGGCCGCTGCCCCAGGACGGTGAGACGGGCCTTGGGTGAGGGCACACTCCAGGCTGGAGTGAGGACAGTTGTGCCCTGCAGCCCCTCTTCGTGCCCACGGAGCCCCGCTGTGTCCACCTTGCAGGTGTGTCTGCCCAGTCCTTCCTCCAGTGTTTCTCGCTGGCCAGCGCCACGTTCAACCTGCAGGTGGCCACCCCTGGGGTGAGTCAGCCAGACTCATGGGGTCTGTATGTTTTTGGGGGCGAGGCTTGGAAGAGTGCTGTCACTCCCTGGGAGCAGCAGGGAGCCTGAGGCTGTTGTGACCCCAAGAGAGGTGGCAGGGCTGAGGGTTCGGTCCCTGGTGGCATCATCAAGCTCAGGTCCTGTTTCCTGGGCTCTGGCCCCACTTGTGGCAAGGGAGACCTTTCGTCACGGGGCAGCACCTGCATATAGGAGCAAGGGTGACACAGACCTTCCACCAGGAGTTCTGTGGTGTGGCACCTGGGGGTCATGGCAGCGATGGGTTACACGTGGGTCACTTTGCTTGTGTTGTCATTCCCCAAGGGGACAGTAGCTCCACTTTATAGGTGGGAGACAGAGGCCCGCAGGGGGCAGCTGGGGGTGGGTTGTGGCACGGCTAGGTGAGGGGGCTGGGCTGTGCCCGAGCTCTTGTCAGCATTTCAAGCCCCCGTGAGCCAACAGTGGGGTGTCCGCCCCTGGCCTGCAGCCCCTGGTGCTCTTACAGGGGAAGACCATGGACTTCGTGGACGTGAATGAGAGCAATGCTCGCTGGGTGCAGGATTTCCGCCTCAAGGCATATGCCAGCCCTGCCAAGCTGGAGTCCATTGATGGTGAGGGGCCCAGGGTGCTGAGAGCTTGGGGCTTTGGGTTGTGGGGGTTCCAGGTGGGTTTGTGGCCTCCAGAGCGCTCCCTTCTGCCTCTGATGCACTCAGGGCTTGCCACGAAGTGCTGTGACTGTCCAGGGCAGTGTCCAGTCCCGAATCCTGGGCCCAGAGTTTTCTGTCTAGGGGAGAGAGGTGGCTGCACAGGGAGACACAGAAAAGGCAGGGATGGCTTGTGGGTCTCGGGAGCCTTAGCCCGTGTGGGGAGAAATGACAAATGATGGCAACTGGCTGGTCTTCCTGGGGGGCTGGTCCCAGCCAGCAACCTGGCTCTCTCTGACTGACCTGCCTGTGATCTCCCCGCAGGTGCCAGGTACCATGCCCTCCTGATTCCCAGCTGTCCCGGGGCGCTGGCCGACCTGGCCAGCAGTGGCTCCCTGGCCCGCATCCTCCAGCATTTCCGCTCAGAGAGCAGTAAGTGACCTGTGGGACTGGGGTGTGGATAGGGGCTTTGTAGGTTCATGAGAAATGGGGCTCAGCCCGCAGCCAGGAGAGGCCAGAGGGGATGTGTCAGGGCCCAGACAGGGCAGATATGAAGAGCCTCTGATTTGGGACCTGGAGGGCACGGGTGCACACATTCAAGGTGGGGCGCCCCTCAGGTCGCTGCCCCCGGGTGCGCTCTGCCTGCCTTCCGTGGGGGCTGGTGGCTGCCCACCCCCCAACTCCCTCTGAGGTGGGCGGGCAACATGCTGGCTTGTTCTTCATGGGCTTCAGGGTTTGAGGCCAGCAGGGCCTGTGGAGATGTGGCGTGCTGCCTGGGCCTGACTTGGGGCTGTGCCGGGCATGTTGGCGGGACGGGGACAAGATGCTCATTAGGGACCAACGGACAGAAACCCAGGGGCTCCACACAGTGTCCTTTGTTAGTGGGAACAGGGCCTCCGTTTCCAGCACGGTCTGGACAGAGAGTCATTGTTCCCGGCCGCCGCCGCCACCGTGGGAATGGTAGGGCTGGGGCACTGGAGGGACAGTGGAAGGGCGGGAGGAGCGACGGGAGGGTGTTCACAGATGGGCTGCACGCGTGCCGCTGCAGGCTGTGTGCTGGGACGTTTGCAACACTGCAGGCCACGCCAGGGTCTGTGGGTGTGGTGCGCTCCAGGGCTTGGTCACTGGGCCTGCCACACCCTCATGACTGCTTGTGTCTGTGTTTTGGCCACCAAAAATTGAAACGGCTGTGAACCAAGCCTAGTCCTGGAGCCGACTGTGTGGGGAGGGAGCTCTGAGGTGGGAGGTGTCGGGAGGGGGCAGCGGCCCCGGTGGTGTCCAGGGCCTCAGCCCTGCCCGTGCTTTCAGAGCCCATCTGTGCGGTTGGCCACGGCGTCGCAGCCCTGTGCTGTGCTACCAACGAGGACCGATCCTGGGTCTTCCAAGGCTACAGCGTCACAGGGGTGAGTGTCGTGCAGGGGAGGGTCCCAGGCTGTAGACAGGCGTCAGAGACCTGCATACGTGCTTGAAAGCTCAGGGACTGTCCCCTCTGCCAGGGGTGACGGTCACTTGCCCAGACCGGGATCACGGAGAATGCTGGCACCAGGCTGACAGTTGTGCTCTCCCCTCCCCTCCCCTGCTGATATCCAGGATGGCCCCAAGGCACGGCCTGTGCTCTGGATGTGGGGAGGGAAGCACAGCTGGGGCTCTTGATGGGGTAGGAGGCAACTTTGGGGTGCCTGGGAAGGAGCTGGGGTCGGGTTGAGACATGACTTTTGTGCATGTCATGTGCACGACACCCTTCGGGGCCAGGAAGTTTGGGTGCAGGGCCTGGAGTTAGGGAGAAAGACCTACCTGGACAGGGGGCCAGAGGGAGGGTCTAAACTGCAAGGACTTGGGCTGCATGGGGCCAGCCTGGCGGGTGGTGCAGGGGGCAGGCCGGCGGGGGGAGGAGAGCCGCAGGGGCACCACGGGGCAGCTGTAGCCACACCACCCCCCTCCTGGGGCTCTGTGCCCTGCTGTTCTGCCCATTGCCCACTGGGGGCCTCGGCCCTGAGGCCACCTGCCGGGCTCACTTACTAGCCCTGATGCTAGGGGAGGGGCGACCGTGGAGGCCATGGTGCCCTTACGTGGGGGCGGGAACCCCTGTCCCCCACAGCCCTCCGTGTATGAGCTCGTCAGGGCGCCTGGCTTTGCCCGCCTGCCCCTCATCGTGGAGGACTTTGTGAAGGACGCGGGCGCCAGCTTCAGTGGTGAGCCGGGGATGGGGGACACTGGCCAGGGGCTGCGGCTCAGACCCGGGCAGGCTGCCTGGAGCTCTGGGGGCCCCTGGGAGGGAACGGGGGCTGGTTGTCAGGGCGTGCCTGGCCTGTGACCCTGTCTGAGACCCGCGCCCTCGGGACTTCCTGCAGCCAGTGAGCCTGACGCCGTGCACGTGGTGCTGGACCGCCACCTCGTCACGGGCCAGAATGCCAGCTCCACTGTCCCAGCCATGCACAACCTGCTCTTTCTCTGTGGCAGCCGGTGAGGAGCCGTGGACGGGGTGGCGGGCGGGATACTGGCTGCTGACCAGCCCTTTGCTGGAACCTGAGCCGTGACCTGACCTGTGCTACAGGAAGTGAGATGGCTTCCCGCCCGCCAGTGGACGCCGCCGCCTCTAGACCGCCCAAGTGTCCCTGGAGATGGCTGGATTCCTCAGGCCTCCAGGGACCCCGCCTCTGTGACAGCCCTGGAGAGTGACTCTCAGACACCCCAACCTGACCCGGTGGGATTGTTGGAGGCCCCCGAGAATCAGCCCTGCGGAGTGTCGTCTCTGGGGGAGGGGTCGGCCTCCCAGCCCCCAGGCCATTTGCTTTCCTTGGGACGGAGCAGGGGGGCTCAGGGCCATCAGGTGGTCACTGAGAATTCCATGTGAGCTTAGCACGGAGAGCTGGTCTGAGGGAGTCGGCCGTGGGGGTCCTGGTGTGGGTCTTGGCCCCTGTGGTCTTCCTGCGCACTGCCGGCTGGCCCCTCCCCTCTGCCTGCGTTGGCCACCCCGGCTGAGCCTCTCTGGTGGCACCAGGATCCCGTTTTGTGCGGTGAGGACTGCCCAGGCCTCTGTGCTGCCCCCCGTTCCTCTGGGTGTCGGGGGAGCCGTGGTCTGGCCGCTGGAGCTGGCTCAGCACTTTCCACTTGCCCAAGGCTGGGGGGCCGGGGGGGCTTGTGGTGGACGCAAGCTCCCGGCCCCCAGACCGGCCCCAGATCTCCCGGTGCTGAAGGAGCTGCCCTAATTTTAATCCTTGTCTGGTGTGTGGTTTCAGAGTGTGATGGTGACACCACGTGAGGGCATCGGTTCTGACCTTGAGAGAAACACGTTTAATCGGGTCTTCAGGAAGCCGCGCTGCTCACCCACAGCCCTGCCCGCATGGCCTGTGGGTTTGTAGCTGCTCCGGGGCTTTTGAGGTAGACGTGACCAAAGCACGGGCCCTACTGGGCAAGAGGCCTGGGGAGCAGCCACCCTGGGTCTACGTGTGGGGTGCCGGTCGGTCCCCACCACCCAGGCCTGTGCTGGGGATGCTCCTTCCTGGCATGGCCGGATCACCCTCTGGTCCCGGGGACCAGCCTGGGCTGTGGCCCTTGGATGGGGCCTCCAGAAGCTGGGCAGCTCCTCTTGTGGGTCCCACTTTTGCTTGTTGCCCACCCCGACTTGGCTTGTCTGGCTCTGCTGTATCCAACCCCTCAGAACAGAGGAGGAGGAAGGAGGCGAGGCACCCCCCGAGTCCCTGGCCGCTTCCAGCACCAGAGAGCGTGCGGAGATGCTCCCACCCTCTCGGTTGGATGTTTTCGGGGGGGACCGTATCAGGAGCTCCTGACGTCATGGCCAGGCTGGCCGGCTCCACCGAGGCCTGGGTCCTACTCCGTGCCTCAGTTGTCGCCACAGGGTGATCGATGTCCCTGGACAAAAGCTTTTTTAAAGATCACGCCTTCTGGGCTCCATCCGTGTGATCTATGAAGAGCTAACAACACTTGCCAAGATCGGCCGGACTACTGCGGGGTTCCACATCGGGGTGCAGGGCGGGTGCCCTGGGTGGCTGTGGCGGTTTGCTCCTGGCTTTGCCAGGTGCGGGGCACAGGGCTGGGGCAGCCTTCAGGCTTAGAGAGGGTGCGGACACTGCAGGCTGGCTGCCGCTCTGGGATGTCCCCACGTGCCGTCTGCCCGCCAGAAATAATCAACAGCCCTACAGGAGTGACCCCCGAGTGTCGCGGCATCCACGGTAACAAACACTTTAAGCAAATCGTAGTTTCCCTGAGTGTTCTTTACCAGACAATGCTAATATCCGCGTGGTAGAAGGTGACTTGGCCAGGGAAAGGAATAAAGTCCTGGTAACATTGCACAGACTGAACCTTGACCACATCCTGCAAAGAAGCCAGACCTCAAGGATGTGTGTGTGTGAGTCCATTTACACGAAATAGCCAGAAAATCCAGTGAGAGTAGTCGGGGTGCAAATGAACAGGACGCCTTTCAGGGTGACGAGAATGTTCTAAGGCTAGGGGGTCGGGGTGCCTGGCCGGCTCAGTCGGTGAGCACGCAACTCCACCTTGGGGTGGATTTGTGCCCCACATGGGGTGTAGAGACTGCTTCAAACACTAATATCTTTAAACCAAATAGCCAGTCTCTGTGGTCTGCAGGTCTCTATTAAAATCCACAGCTTGTACATGTGAGTGGGTGGGTGGGCTTGATGTGTTTTAGCTGCGTCCAGTCACATGCGTGCATGCATCCTGGGGTGCAGTCTGTTGAGCAGCTGGCCGTCTGCCTGCCCATCAGCCAAGGGCTGGGACGCAGCCAGAGAGGCGCAAAGCCCTGCCCAGCGCTCAGACACCCAGCTGCCCCCTGCACACCCTAGGGGGGCGCTCTCAGCATAGGCTGGACCTGCTGGGGCTAGGCTTGTGTGCTCTTGGTGGGTCCTCTCCCCAAGACCCGGCACTGTGTGCTGTGCTGTTCCTGCCCTTGGGGAGGTGGCCGAGGGGGCCACTCCAGAACCAGCCACCAGCCTGGGTGCTCTGACCCCAACACAGGATGCTCCTGGCATCCCTGCAGAAAGCTCTGCAGAGCAGTCCCTTAGTGGGACCCGGGGCAGTGTCTGACCAGGGCTGGTCCCTGACACCTGGCACCACCCGCACAGACCTGAGGTGGCCAGCCTGGCGTCCTCCATCCCTGCAGGCTGCTCTGTTCCAGGAACAGGCTGGTCCCGGGGGGGGGGTGGGGGTGGGAGGGGCTACCCCATGGACCGCCATCGCTGCCCCCACCAAGCCCTTCCCCATGCAGCAGGTCACGAGCAGAAGCTGCTCCAGAGCCTGTGTGCACCAAACCGTCCCGAGGAGGCACCACTGCTCCACATGGGAGCTGAGCAACAGGGGTGGCCTGGCTGGAGCTGTTCCTCCCTCTGCAGGCGCCTACACCCCAGGGAGGCCCCCTGGGAGCCCCTGACCACAACCAAAGTCCAAGGACTCCCAGGCTCCCAGCTTGCTGCCCAGCAGAGGCTCATGGCCGAGGTGAGGGACCGTCCCTGCGTGTGTCACCCTAGTTGGAGCCACGTCAGAGCCAAAAGCCTGGGGCAGCTGGTGCCAAGGGGAAAGGGACTGGAGCCAGAAAGAGGAATGTAGCACAAGAAAAGAGACTGCTTTAATTAATTAGGCAAAATTTTACATAGAATCTGTGATCCATCCCTGCCCCAACTGGTAAAAAATGCAAAATTCACAAGGTATGTGCAATCAGCCCCAATTCAGACGGCATAGGTCTGTGGTCCGGCTCAGGCGCGGTGCTATTTTCCGTTCTCTGTGCTGAACATGCGATCCTAGAAGGGAGAGCATGAGAGATGACAGGTGACTTGCCCACTTGCCCCCCAGCCCCCGCCTCCTGCACAGGAAGGGGTAAGGCCCACAGTCAGGGCTGCTGCAGATGGGGAGTCATGGCCTCCTTACAAGGGCGCCCACCAGTGGCTGGCCCGGAACCTGTGGGGCAGAGTCCCTTAGAACCTTCCAGCTCTGCCCCCAAGCCTGGGGCACTCACCATCAGCATCCGCTCGAGCTTCACGGCATCCGCAGCAAACTTCCGGATCCCATCTGAGAGCTTCTCCACGGCCATCTGGTCCTCATTGTGCAGCCAGCGGAAGGCCTTTTCATCCAGGTGAATCTTCTCCAGGTTGCTGGCCTGGGCTGGGGAGGACAGGCACCGGGGCCTCCCACAGCCGCCCATTACCCCGCCCGCAGCCCCGCCTGTGCCACCCCCTTGGGGTCAGTGCTGCCCGGCACCTCTTGGCAGGGCCCCAGCGGGGCTCCCGCGACAAGCAGGACCTAGGCTGCCTCAGGCCAGTCCATCGCCTACGCCCTCCGAGAGCAGGGCGAAGGTGGCCACAAGCCAAGGGCTAGAGAGCTTACCCGCCTTGACTGACAGCGCGGGGGCCAGCTTGCTGTTGTCCTTGAGCAGCTCCCCCAGGAGCTTGGGCGAGATGGTGAGGAAGTCGCAGCCTGCCAGCGCTTTGATCTCGCCGGTGTTGCGGAAGGAGGCGCCCATGACGATGGTCTTGTAGTCAAACTTCTTGTAGTAGTTGTAGATCTTGGTGACACTCTTCACTCCTGGGGTGACACGCTGCGTTCCTGAACAGCCCCCGGGACGCCGGCAGCGGTGCCCGCCCACGGCACGGCCCAGAGCTGCCGTCGCGTCCCCTCCACTCAGCGGAGCCCCTCACCCGGTTCCTTCAACGGGCTACTCACCAGGGTCCTCCAGGGGCTCGTAGGATTTCTTGTCTGTGTTGGCCACATGCCAGTCGAGGATGCGCCCCACGAAGGGGGAGATGAGTGTCACTCCTGCCTCGGCGCAGGCCACGGCCTGGGCGAAGGAGAAGAGCAGCGTCATGTTGCAGTGGATGCCGTGCCGCTCCTCCAGCTCCCTGGGGGGACAGGGCAGGCTGAGCAAGGCTGGGCCCACAGGTCCACAGGCGGCACGGGCGCTCCTGCAGGCGCTGCCAGACAGCCCCCCGCCCCGGCCCGGCCCGTTCGGTGGGGAAGCCGCTCAGAAGTCCCTCGATGCAGCCGGGCCGCCCCTCCCCCACAGCCCAGGTGCAACACTCACCCGGGGGCCCTCTGCCTGGTGGGCTATGGTGACAGGAATTTTCTCCATCAAACCCACATTTCCAAACAGGAGCAGAGGCAAGAGAGGCTCCCTGAGAGCCACAGTGGGTCTCCCTGGCCCGGACGCGTGCACCTGCACCTGGGGCCCCGGGCCCCTGGCGCATCACAGAGCTTGCCCGGGCCGGAGACCGCGGGGTCCCCTCCGACCGCAGTGCAGTCCCGCCCTCTGTCCCACCCGCAACCGGCAGCCCACCCCCCGCCCCCCAATCCACCGCACGTCCCGGGGTTGAGCCCTGAGGGTAGGGCAGTGCCCACACGGGCACATGCCAGGGACTGGGCTGTGACGGCTGAGCCTGCGCTCAGGCCCCTCTGGCCGTGCTTCTCCCCCTCCCCAAGGGACAGCTTCAAAGGGGCCTG